AGATTAATTTTCCATTTATATGTAATTTCTTTCTCTCTTTTTTAATTGTATTTTTAAAAGAAGCAACATATTTAAGGTTCTATGAAATTAATATTTTAGAAGCTAAATTTAAAGTTTATTTTAGTGAGATAATTACTGTCATGTTTATGCTTATATTAAAGAGTTATTGTTGATGTTCATTAGGAACAGAAAGATTCTAAAACCTTTTCCATGATTTTAGGTCTGAAGCTCTTCATATAATATTTTTAGAAAAACTGCATTATCCTTAGTCTAGTTCAATGTTTAATAAATTATCCAAAATAGGTCACATTTTGAGAAAAGTACAGTAGTTATTATAGACGAGATTTAAGTTACCCAACTCAGTGATTTAAAATTTCTTGAAGAGAAGTTTAAAAGCAAAATAAAACATCCTTAAAGTAATAATTTAAGGAGGAAAAAAGGATTTAACCTAGTTTTTTTTCAAATACTATGTATAACCTTATTTTAAAATGAAATGAAGGAATGGAAATGAGGCTGGATGACGGTTTCTAAACAAAACATCCGCTATACAGCTCCCAGATGCTTCTTTTTACTTAACTACTTGACACTACTGACCATGATAACAGTTTTAATTAGGACTACCTCATGATAGAAATCTGGTCTTCGCTATATATCAGTATACCTTTGAATACATTAATTCAAAAGAAGTATAAAATTAGAGAATTTATTATTTAAATATTGATAATTACATAATACAATATCTAAGTGGAACACAAAGAAATTTGGTCTTTGATTAACTCTTTGTATGTAAGCATCCTAAGATAAGCAAAGTATGTATTTTTCCCTATTTTTTGTGACAGTTTTGTGCTGCTCTGTCCAGATACTTTCACCTGAGTTCCCAAGGAACTATGGTTTTTCCTAGATAAGTAAAGTGTTGGCTCGAAGATTATTCTTCTATATCTGTGCCGTATTGACAAATGAATAAATAGGTGCAGTTTCACATTTGAATAGTTTAAGTCTTAAGCGTATTTTCCAACGTGAACAGCAGCTTCTGAGCACTGACCTCAGAGGCATCCCTGTGTTCTGCAAGGCCACTCTTCCCCGCAGCTTCCTACTGGATTCAGCTGCTGGTGGCATTAACAAGATACCAGGGTGGGAGGGCAGAACAGTTGATGTGTTTGTTCCCAGCTTCATCCCTATTGGCCGGGCTCGAACAATGCTTCTGGAGAATCGTGGTCTACTGCAAGCATGGCGCCTGCTGGGCCTGAGCTGCTCCCTTCCCTTGCCCCCTTGGCCCTCAAGTGGGACCTCCCTCCTGGCACCTTTGGTGTCTCACCAGTCCCTGGTTTCCCCTCAATGCTGTCTGAGCCTTTGTGAATAGTCCCTTCCTGTAGTCCTCAGATTCTCTTGAGTGTGTCACCTGCTTCACAGTGGGACTGTAGCAGAGATACCCCGTATTCAAGTAGGTGAAATTACAGTGCTTTAAAACTGGGCCACATTTCTTATATTTTCCTGATGTAAAGAGCCAGCAGACATTTGGGAGCTGGAACACACCTTAGAGGTCTCTGAGGTGGCCACGGGACCTGGTGAACAGCAAGGGTAAGATTTACAGGTGCTGAATCTTATGTTTATCTTATATTTACAGCTTCCTGTGGAAACAGTGATGTCCATTCAGTCTTTTTGAATTCCAGATATTTACACAAATGAGCAATTGTTAAAATAATTGTATGAGAGCACATTCTATCTTTACCTTCACACCTCTACCTGAAATCTTTTGTAAAGTCATGTATGTGTTTCGTTGGTTCTTACTGGCGTGTCTACTTCTTTTCCAAGGCATCCTATCCTTGACTAACTTGTAGAGTGTATAGCCTGGGATGGGGGCAGGGTGAGTGTGGGTGGGCTGGGGCTTCCTTCTTGCCCACCTGTGACTCACCTGAAGGGCTGTAGCCTATGCGGCTTCCTTTCCCTTCCCTTTGTAATCTTCTGATGTGGAAGAAGAATTTTGAAATAAGATGATGCTGAGAAGGCAAATATGCACACTGGAGGGAAGTGCTCGCCTGTTTCACGTCGAAATGTCTGCACACTTGTCTTGGATCCTGTGTTCTTATTCTGCCTGCTCTAGGATAGCATGGGCCTTGGGGGAGAGAGATTCCTTGTCATTATAATTCCTGTGGGTATTAAATGGTTTCCTTTGGCTCTGCCTCTCATGTCTAGAATCTTCCTACTTCCCTGTCTCCACTGCTTTCACCGTAATTCAAGCTGCCACCATCCCCCATCCAAACTACCAAGAGTTCTTGATAATGTCTCGGGATCTGCCCTTGGCCCCTTACATTTCTACAAGTCATTCTCCACCCAACGGACCTGAGAGATCCTCTTGGAAACACGCATTGTGTCACTCCTCTGGAACAGCCTCTGATGTCTTATCATCAAACTTATAATCAAAGTTAAACTCCTATTTTATCTGTAGCCCATCTCTGCGTACTTGACTGTATCCCAAGTTTCACCTCATTGCCTAAATTTTAGCCAGAATGCCTTTCTTTTTGATCCTAAGACATGCCACACTTGTTTCCACATGACTCCCCTCTGCTGGGACACTCTCTCAAACCTTTACCTTTTGCCTCTTTTGGATTTTTCACACGGCACCTGTTGCTGTATTAAGTGTTTACCTGCTCACAGTCTGCCTTTCTCCACTAGAACGTCAGTTCCATAAATGGCAGGGTCTCTTTTGTTCATTGCCGTAGCTGTGTCAGATACATGCAGGCATTCAGAACTTCTGGGATAAATGAATGTATTTAAACCCTCTGAAATTACTTGACTAAGAATAATTTGTGTCATAGAAATTTCGTTGGGCACTTTTTCATTGTTTTTAGTGACTGGGTTGTACAAGATCATACCATTAGCATACACATGATCCCTTCACAGTTGGTTATTAAAACACATTAAGAATTAAGTATCTGTACCAGTTAGGTTTACATTGATTCCACGAATAGAAAAAATATTGATTCCACTTAATATTTCTGGACAACCATGACCATCTAATTGATTGATAATTAAGAGTGAAAAGTGAGTAATTTACTAAAGGCAAATAATGCCAAATTTCTAATCTGTTTTGTTTTTTGATCAATAGTAAAATAAGTACTGTAAATTGCCTTGTCTAAGTAATTTTGATGGTGAAATCTAAATTATAACTATTTCATAATCTTTTCAATCTTGTAGTACCAATTTTACATGTGGAATCGTTTCCAGTGAGAAAATTGCTTCCATGTGCTTTATAATGCCCAATTCTGCTAACATTTATTTTGTTTTTACAGATTTATGAAATAAATCATTTTTTGAGGATAAAGCTTATTAGATTATTTAACCAAGAGAAATAAATGTTATTTTGGTGACTACAGATTGAATGAAACTGAATTATTTTAATCACATGAAATAATTATTTGTAAATAAGATAATAGTTTTGTTTCACATTACATTTCTTGTTTAAATGAATTTACCTGTTGAGAAAACAAATAACATACCTATTCCTTTAGAAGTCTAAATCCAAAAATAAATCATCTTCCTTTAAGGCATAATGTGCTTAGAAACTACCTCATTAAGAAAATCTTAAATTCCCTGATCACTTTAAGGGATTTTGGTGTTCCTATGGCATGTGTTTGGGGTTATAGGAAGCACACACATAAGCCTAATCAATGTTTTTAAAGTTACCTAGTCTAACCTGTTAAGAGACCTGATATGTATCCTTGTGAAAAGTAAGGTTGTAACAGATGGTTAGTTAAATGGGCTAAAAAGGAAGTGGGCTGATGAAAATAAATGAACTTGGCAATTGATTCGCATTAAAGATGTGGTTTGTAGGAAGGAGCAGGGTCTTCCAGATACCAAGTTGTCTTAGCTTTAGGCAACACAGCTGGATGGGAATCTCTGCCAAACTGACAGATGGATGCTCCTAATACGCCACCTCCCTGGGCCAGGACTGTGCCCACAGAAGGAGAACCTCTGTGGACCTAGAAGACACAAGGCCGTGGCTGACAGCTGGGGATTGCTCAGACTCCTTAGAATTGAGATACGAGCTGGAAACTGTAGCATCATCTTACTCAATACACAGTTTTGTATCTTTTTGATAATCTGTCTTTTTAAATTATATAATTTGCTGTATAAAAGGTAAAGTTGACTATTAAAATTTCTTAATAATTACTACTTAGTTCTTCCATTAAGAGTACACTTCATTTAGGATAATCACCTATCACTAAACTAAATCCATTAAAATTATAGGGGATATATCCGTTTGAATTTTTTAAGCAATTATTTTTCTTCAAAAGGAAAGATTAAACCAAACCATATTTGGGAGTAAATGTCACACAATGGAGCACATAAAGAATGCCAAGTAATCGAAAAGGAAAACTCACTCCAGTGGAGAGGTCAAGTGTTTGTACCTGAAAAGCGAAAGTGAGAGAGAACGCGGCGTTTGCAGGCGGCGTTCCCATCACACGCTGTCTGAGACGGAGAGGAGCTGCACACCCACTTCCTCCTCTCACCCTGTCACGAGCCGCTACCCCTTTGCAGAAGTCATTTCATTTCTGTGCACCTCAGACTTTTGTATATAAAATGAAAGAATTTAGATAGATTTTTCTCTTAAGGTTTCTTCCCACTCTAAGTTTCCAAAATTCCATGAAAGTGAAAACCTGGCCCATGCCATAAAAGTGTACCAGGGGATTTAGATGACAACAGAGGCAAGGCCCACATTGTATTTGATTTCAACAGTAATATTAAAGCAACAAGAACATATAGTACACTCCTCATGAAAGCAGTGATAGAAGTGCCTGATATTCCTACAGTGTTAATGACATTATTTTTAAATTCTGTCTTAATGCCCTGCCGGTTACTTGTGACTCTTTAATGCTGTCTTTCTTTCTTCATGAAGTAATGCATACTTAAACCTCACTCCTGAAAATACAAAAGTCTTTCTAGTCCTATTTTAAATGTGCAAATGCTATGCTGACCAGTCTTATATCGTTGTGTTCTAGAGACCGTGTAATTGGTTTGATGATGACTGCCTGTGATCTATGTTCTGTGACAAAACTGTGGCCAGTTACAAAATTGACAGCAAATGATATATACGCAGAATTCTGGGCTGAGGTATGTCCTTGATTCTTATATTAACATAGATAGTATCAAAAAATGGGAAGATATTTAAGGAGAAATTAAATATATGGATAATTTACTAATATCTTCATTGCTCATGTTGTTAGTTATTTCAGAAAACTGTGATCACTCACATACGATGAAGGATTTAGCAATCATGTAGGTACAAAGTGAGAGTGGTCATCTTGTTACATCTTACTTAAATATGTGTGTAAATTCTCTGATCCCAACTCTGTTTAGGAGCTTACTTACTGAACAGTGGTGTGACAATTTCCCTTACCTAATAGCTGATCTTTTGTTCATTCATTTAATAAACATTACTGGCCATCCACTTTAGATAAGCACTGGACAAAATTTTCATCAGGACTTGTATATCTGCCTGTAGTTAGGAATTCAGTAGAATAATCATTTGTACCATAGACATATGAGAATATGTAAATATACTCAATGGCCAACTCACCTGCAAATTATGAAATCTTTAGAATATGTAGAATAGTAATTCATAATACTCCTGAAACACACACATAAATGACCTTTCTTAACATGTTTTCTTCACCAAATCATCTAAGTTATCAGTAATATACATTTTACTTTTCAGTGTACTTTCTGAATTATCTGTAAATAGAATATAATTCTCCCATTCAAACAAATCACAGATACCTAGAATCTTGTATATTCAAAGATTATGAAAGAAAAGCTATAAATCCTTTGAGTACTTCTTTCTGTTCAGAAAAATGAAAGTAAACTTGGAAGGCAAAGAGTTTCGTAGTTGATAATTGTATCATATATATCTCACTCATGTAGAAGAATGTGCAAAAACATAAAAACCAGCAAATCATTCAGCCACAAGTTTAGTAAGAATGGTTTAAAACGTTGAATTATTTTGTAGCGGTAAAGCCAAAGAATTTTTATTGCATGAGGAACACAGACCTTGAGCTGATTGTACTCACAGTGTTATTTCTCTAGAATACCTTACAAATTGTATATGCATGCACTTACATAATGTTTTTATTCATTTTGCTGTGTGCGTCAGAACCTAGTTACCATCAGACTCAATTAGGAAGATTGTTTTAGATGTGTAATCGACTCTTGAACAACACTGGTTTAACTGCGCAGGTCCACTTGATTTTTTTACATGATTTTTTTTTCAATAAATATGTTGGAAAAGCTTTTGGAGATTGCAACAATGTGAAAAAAAAATCTCAGGGATGAACTACATAGCCTAGAAATATCAAAAAGAATTAAGAAAAATTTAGGTATGTCATAAATGCATAACTATGTGTAGTATTAGTCTATTTTATCATATACTACCATAAAATGTACACATATTTATTATAAAAATACAAAATTTTTCAGAACGCATGCATGTCAACACTTACAGATGGTGCATGGCGCACCATGGTATACGTGCAGTTGAGAGAAATGGAAACAAATGTAAAGATGCAGCATTAAATCATAATTGCATTAAATTAACTCTGGTGCACACTATACTATTGTAATAATTTTGTAGCCACCTCCTGTTGCTGTTGTGGTGAGCTCAAGTGTAGTATGCACTTAAAACACCACGTGGTGCTAATGAACTCTGTGTGAGCAGTTAAGCTCTCCACTAAATTGTGTATCAAGGGAAAGGTTCTCTCTTGTGGTTCCCGCATATTTTCCATTGTGTTTAGCACAATACCATAAACCTTGAATAACATCATGGTACCCATGCAGAGTGCCACTAGTGATGCTGGAAGTGTTCCCAAGATGCAGAGAAAAGTCATGACATTACAAGAAAGAGTTCAACTGTTTGGTACACACTGTTGATAGAGGCCTGCAGCAGTGGTTGCCACCATTTCAAGATAAATGAATCCAGCATAAGGACTGCTGTAAAAAAAAAAAAAAAGAAAGATAATTCATGAAGCTGTCTCTGCAGCTATGCCAGCAGATCTTAAAACCTTAACACTATTTGAAAAATACCTTTTATCTAGTACTGAAAATGTAGCTTTTGCATGAGTGCAGGATTGCTATATAGCATACTTATAGACTCTCATATGATTTGAGAAAAAGTGAAATCATTATATGACAACTTAAAGCAAAAGAAAGGTAAAGGATCTAAACCTGGAGAATTTAATGCTGGCAAAGGATGGTTTGATAATTTGAGCAAGAGGTTTGGCTTTGAAAAATGCCAAGACAACAGGAGAAGCAGCCTCTGCTGACCAGGAGGCAGCACACAGGTTTCCAGATGCCACTAAGGAAGTCATTGAGGAGACAGGATATCTGCCTGAACAGGCTTTTAATGCAGATGAAAGTGCCCTATTCTTTGGGGAAAAAATGCCCACAAATGACATCTACTAGTAAGGAAGAGAAGCATGCGTTAGAATTAAAGGCAGAAAGGTATAAGCTAACTCTACTGTTTTGTGCAAATGCAGTCTCGGGTTTATGATCAGAACTGCCCTTATCTATAAAGCTGCTAACCCCAGATAATTGCGGAAAGATAAACAACAGCCGTCAGTCTTTTGGTTGTACAACAAGAAGCCTGGACGAGAACCCTTTTTCTGGATTGGTTCCATCCATGCTTTGCCTCTGAAGTCAGAAAGTACCATGCCAGTAAGAGACTGGCTTTTAAAGTTTTTTTGTGTTGGACAATTCTCCTTGCCACCCAGAACCCCCTGAGTTAAACACCAAAGGCATCAAATCACCTACTTTCCCCTAAACACAATGTCTTCAATTCAGCCTCTAGATCAGGGGTTCATAAGGACTTTTAAGGCTTATTACACATGGTAAATCCATGGAAAGGATTGTCAACACTATGGGAGACAACCCCAATAAAGAGAACATAGTGAAAGTCTGGAAAGATGATAGCATTGAAGATACCATCATTGTTATAGAAAAAGCCATGAAAGCCATCAAGCCCAAAGTAATGACTTTCTGCTGGAGAAAACTGTATCTAGGTGTTGTACATGACTTCATAGGATTTACAACAGAGCCAATCAAGGAAATTATGAAACAGATTGTAGAAATGGTAAAAAAAAAAAAAAAAAAAAAAAAAAGGGGGGGGGGGGGGGTTTTAAGATATGGGTCTTGGATAAATTCAAGACCCCACAACAGAGGAATTCACAGATGACTTAATAGAGATGCTGCTTCCAAACCAGTGCTGGACGATGAAGAAGATATAGAAGAAGCAGTGCTAGAAAACAAACTGACATTTTACAATCTAGCAGAAGGGTTCAAGACTGCTCTTGACTCACTTTACAACATAGACCCTTCCATAATACAGGCACTAACGCTGAAGCAAATGGTGGAAGGTCTGGTACCCTATAGAAACATTTGTAGAGAAACGAAAACACAAAAAAATCAGAAATTACTGTGCATTTCCATAAAGCTACAGTGAGTGAGCCTGCCTCTCCTGCCTCCCCTTCCACCTCCTCTATCTCTTCCTCTGCCACCCCTGAGGCAGCAAGACCAACCCCTCCTCTTCCTTTTCCTCCTGAGCCTACTCAGCGTGAAGATGACAAGGAAGAAGATCCACTTTCACTTCATCAGTAGTAAATACATTTTCTCTTCCCTATGATTTTAAAATCACATTTTCTTTAATGTAAGAATACAGTGTACTATACATGTAACACATAAAAAATGTGTTCATTGACTTTGTTACTGGTAAGGCTTCCAGTCCACACTAGGCTATATCAGTAATTAAGTTTTGGTGGAATCAAAAGTCATATTTGGGTTTTTTTGCACCGAGGGTCAGTTCCCCTATCCCCTGTGTTGTTCAAGGGTCAGCTATACGTGTTTGAACTGTAATATTTCACTTTATTGTCATAATCAAAAATCTAAAAGTACTAACCTAGATGCTTTCTATAAATATCACATAGGAAAACTGGAAAACTGGTCTGAAGCTACCTTATTGCTTTGCACATCATTTTACCCAACTATGATACATTTCATACTTAACAACTATATTAGTATTCTGAAATACGAATTAAAACGTGACAGATATATAATGTGGATAATTTTTTGTGTGTTCCTCATTCATTATTTAACACACAAATATTGATTAAGCTCCCTGCATACTCTTATGTATATGAGAGGGACCTTCAAGGACCTCACAGTCCATGGGAGGAAACAGAAATAGAATTACCAAGTCCTCCAATTGCTCTGGATATCCACGAAGTCCTGTGTCTCCTCTCTAGCCCTACAGTCACACCCTTCCTTCAGATCATCACCAAATCATGACTCAATTACTGCAACTTCCTAACTGAATTTCCTGCCTTTCCCTTTTAGAATCAGTATAACAGAAATTAAGAGGGTGCTCTTTGGTGACATGTTAAAATCCTGTTTTGGCACTCAGTATGTAACGTTGGGCCAGTTTTCTGACTTGACTCTACATCAGTTGACACGTTAGCGAGGCAGGGATGGTCATAATTCTGATCACATGAGCACCCTGCTTCAAACCCTCAGTCGTGCTACAGGCCAGAATCATGAACATGGTGTTGAGAGCCCTGCGTCACTAGCCCCATGCCTGCTGCCTCTGCAGACGTGTTCTCCATCTCAGCCCCTCTGGATATCTTGACTGCAGGCTCTCTCGTTGTCATTTATGCCTTTGTGCCTACAGTGTCTCTGCCCAGAGCATGCGCCCCAGCCTCTGTGTTCTGTGAGGGCCTCAGATTAGTTCAGCCCTGTACTATGCACGTGGCCCATAGCACTTAGTTCTTTTCCTTCTTAGCATTTAAGTCCATATTCAAATCACTGTTTATTTAAACATCTGTTTACTTGTTGGACTTGTAAAATCTTTGAAAGCAAGGAACTTAGTGTGTTTTACTCACTTAGAAAAGAAAACAGTTTAGGAATCACCGATTTTAAATATTTAAAGTGATAACAACAGAACAGAAGCTATACTTGAAGTGCCTTTACCTTGTTAGGACAAGTGCCTTTGTCCTATACTTAAAAATACTTAGTGAGGGTTATAGTAACATGTTTCTAGAGCCTATCTTAGCAAATTTAGGAAGTTTTTAGTCAGTACTTCTTCTGAAAACAAACATGAATAAAATTACTAAAATGATAAATGTGACAGAGGAGTGAGGAGTTAGGAAAAAATTAGGAAATGTTAAGAAAAAGATCTTAAGCTTTTACTTTTACAAACAAATAGAAAGCAAGATAATTTTTAAAATCTATACAGTGGGAATAATATATCTATCTCATAGTATCTTATGAGGATTAAATGAATTAATATTTATAAATTAGCCTACAGCCTGTAACATAGTCAATCTTTACTATTGTCTATAATTATAAATTTGATGGTGATGTATAGCCAGTTAATACCGCAACTGTTACTTATTCTTCTCTTGTTAGTATCCTTCTCTAAAGCCTGGAGTTCAGTGCACATTAAAGATCATTTGAAAAAGAAGTGAGAAAGGGCTTCAGGTTATTCCATGTTTTATTGTTGTTTCTCTTCACTGTTTATAACTTTTACAAAACATCTGTAATATGAAACCAGAAGAGATATGGTAGGTTTCTGGTAGGTCAGTAGAGGAGATAAAATCAGGATAAAATACCAAACAGTGATACATTAAGTGTTTTATAATCTTGATATTTTTCTTGGGTCAACAACCAAAAAATTATTCATTTTGAAGAAAATTAATGAAGAAAAGGAACAATTTATTAATACTAAAATTTTACAACCATTTGAAAATTGAGAAAGCCTGACGTTTACCCCTGTTTACCTTAGGGCGATGAAATGAAGAAACTGGGAATACAGCCCATCCCTATGATGGACAGGGACAAGAAGGATGAAGTCCCACAAGGCCAGGTATGGCTATGAATTATTAAAGTCAATCTGTTACTGTTAACGTCCAATAGTCTCAGGTGGCCATAAGATCATACATGGATAGAAAGCACACACCATCTTATATGTTTGGCTACAGGGAATGTGTCATTTGGGTATGGTGATGTAGAAACTTCAGTGGTAGTTATCTACAGGAGCTGAGAACTAAAAAAAGAGTAGCCCTTTACCCCTGAAGCATCATCCACTCAGATGAGCCTTTGCATATAAGACACTCTCAGGAACCGAAACTCCACAGGGTTTGTACTTATAATCTGGGCTGAGGGCCAACTCTCATTGCTGCCTTTGTTCCCAAGGCTGCAGGCAAAACTGGAAACTCTTAAGGGTCTGACTGTCTTGTGGACTGGAAGGACCTGGTGCTCAATGGACAGAACCTAGAATCACTTGAAACCTCCTCCTTTTAGATGGAGTTTGGGGAGAGTAAGAGCAAGATCAGGAAATCCTAGTGGGATTTAAGGAATCAGAATATCCTTGTCATCTCTTCTTTCTACAGATGCAATCACAGTACATAGGCTTTCTTTTCTGACCTGAAATTGAAGGGATAGATAAACATGAACTGTTACATTTGTAAAAGCAGAAAATATTTGTCATTGGCTATACAATGATTTTTTTTGGAAGTAACATTATAGTTTTTGATTCAGGTCCATTTTTTTCTGACATGCTTAGCATTTTAGTACATTTTGAGTTTTGTCTCTTTTTTAAAAATTTTTATTTCAGAATATTATGGAGGTACAAATTCTTTGGTTACATATGTTGCCTTTGCACCCCCCCAACTCAGAGATACAAGTGTGCCCAACACCCAGACATCATGCACCGTACTCATTAGGTGTGAATTTGCCCATCCTCCCCTCCCCCTCCCACCTGCCCAATGCCCTATGGATGTTACTTCCATATGTGCACATAAGTGTTGGTCAGTTAGTACCAATTTAACAGTGAGTATGCGTGGTGCTTGTTTTTCCATTCTTGTGATACTTCACTTAAAAGAATGGGCTCCAGCTCCATCCAGGATAGTAGAAGGGGTGGTATTAGTTCACCCTTTATTTTTTGTGGCTGAGTAGAACTCCATGGTGTACATATTCCACATTTTATTAATCCACTGATGTATTAATGGGCACTTGGGTTGTTTCCACATCTTTGCAGCTGTGAATGGTGCTGCTATGAACATCCTAGTGCAGATGTCTTTTTTATAGAGTGTCTTTTTTTCCTTCGGGTAAATACCCAGTAATGGGATTGCTGGATCAAATGGTAGCTCTACTTGTAGTTCCTTGAGGCATCTCCATATTAATTTCCACAGAGGTTGTACTAGTTTGCAGTCCCACCAGCAGTAGCGTAAGGGCCTTCCCATCTCTCCACATCCACATAAACATTTGCTGTTTGGGGACTTTTTGATAAAACCCATTCTCACTGGAGTTAAGTGATATCTAACTGTGGTTTTGATTTACATTTCCCAGATGAATAGAGATATTGAGTATTTTTTCATATGTTTGTTGGCCATTATTCTGACTTCTTTTGAAAAGTTTCTGTTCATGTCCTTTGCCCACTTTTTAATGGAGTTGTTTGATTTTTTTTCTTGTTGATTTTCCTGAGTTCTATATAGATTCTGGTTATCAGCCGTTTATCAGATGTGTAGCATGCAAATATTTTCTCCCATTCGGTAGGTTTTCTGTTTGCTCTCATGATGGTTTCTTTGGCTGTGGAGAAGGTTTTTAATTTGATCAGGTCCTATTTATTTATTTTTGTTGTTACTGTGATTGCCTTTGGGCTCTTCATAAATTATTTGCCTAGGCCCATATCTACAAAAGTTTTTCCAACACTTTCTTCTAGAATTCTTATGGTTTCATGCCTTAGGTTTAAGTCTGTTATCCATAATGAGTTGATTTTTGTGAGTGGTGAGTGGTGTAGATCCTGATCCTTCCTTTTACATGTGGCTATCCCATTTTCCCAGCACCATTTATTGAATAAGAGTTCTTTTCCCCATGTATGTTTCTGTTTGCTTTGACAAAAGATCAGATGGAATATGAGAATGGTTTGTACCCGGTTTCTCAGTTCTGTTCCATTGGTCTGTGTCTCTGTTCTTGTGCCAGTACCATGTTCTTTTGGTGACTACAGCCTTACTATGTTATAGTATAGCTTGAAGTCTGGTGAGTTGATACCTCCCAATTTGTTCTTTTTGCTTAAGATTGCTTTAGTTATGCAGGGTCTTCTCTGGTTCCATACAAAGCATAGAATTATTTTTTCTAGAGCTGAGAAAATTTATGTTGGTATTTTAATAGGGATTGCATTGATTCTGTAGATCACTTTGGGCAGTATAGACATTTTAACAATGTTGATTCTGCCAATCCATAAGCATGGTATGGTTTTCCATCTGTTTACATCCTCCACTATTTCCTTCCTCAGTTTTTCATAGTTCTCCCTGAGAAACAAGTCAAAAATTCAGTACCTTTCACAATAGCAACAAAGAAAATAAAATACATTTTGAGTTTTGTCTCAACATAAATTAACATTAATTATCCTCTTTCCAGGACTTACTACATAATTAATGTATTTTTTAATGTTTTGGGAGCTCCTGTGCCTTGTTAGTTTTGTACATGTGTACGTGTTGTGTGGTGTATGTCTTATATTATGATTGTCTTAAACTACCAATCTTCTAATGGCATAACAAGGAAGTTAGTCATGAACAAACAATATAGACAAGTTTAAAAACATTTTTTAAAATTCACAGGATGGTGGTTTTGGATAAATTTTCAAATTCTCTTTTATTTAAAATTGATTTATAAAAGATTTAGGCACGTCACAGCTCATGGAGGACACCTGCATAACAAAGAGGTCGCACGCCCTTCTCACGGCTGTGGCCTCCACGCTCACCCTTAGCCAGTTTTCCTGACACGGGTCCCTCTTTCTTCCTTCCTCTGAAGTGCACCCAACATACGTGCCATGCATGCTGCACATGTAATTTGCACTTTAGTTGCTTGTTAACATGGTTTATGGAACTTTCCCATACATGGAGTCACCGCTGTTAGTCTTTGCTGTTTGGTGTCTACTTTTCACATCATATTTTAAAAGCCATTTTCCACCCTGAGATTATATAAACATTTGTCTAAATTTTCTTTAGTTACTTTTTTCTTTTATTACTTTACATTTGATTTGTTAATTCATTTGGAATTTATCTTGTCATATGGTTTAAGATAGGGATCTAATTTTTTCTTTCCTAGTAAACAGCCATTCAGAGGGTCCCAAAAGACTTAACTTGTTCTAGCAGCAGCCCAAAAATTCAAAGTCCACAGTTTCATCTGAGACTCAAGGCAAGGGTTTATAGCTATTGTGAGCCTGCAGAATCAAAAACAAGTTATTTATTTCCAAGATACAGTGGTGGAACAGATATTGGGTAAACATTTCTATTCTAAAAGGGATAGCCCAGAGAAAGGGGTGATAGGCCCTACGCAAGCCTGAAACCCAGCAGAGCAGACATTAATCTTAAAGCTCCAAAATCTCCCTTGACTCCATGTCTCGAATCCTAGGCACACTGGTATGAGGGCTGGGCCCCCAAGGCGTCGGGCAGCCCTGCTGCCAGGGCTTTGCTGGGTGCAGCCCACGTGGCTGCTCTTGTGGGTTGGAGTCTGGTGCTGTGGCTTCTGGGCTGAGGTTTGCTCTACCATTCTGGGATCCGGAGGGCAGCCTGGCGCTGGTCCCATAGCTCCACCAGGCACTATCTGGTAGAGGCTCTGTGCGGTGGCTCCTCCCCTGACGCGGTCTTCTGCCTACACTCCCAGGCTTTCCAATATATCCTTTGGAATCGAGGTGGAAGCTTCCAAGCCTCCACCATTCTTGCATTCTGCAAACCTACAGACTTAACACAACATTGAAGCCACCAGGGCATAAGCTTTGCACCCTCCTGAGCAGCCGCCTGAGCAGTACCTGGGGCTCTTCAAAATGTGGATGGGGACAGAACAGCAGGGATGTGGGGAACAGCATCCTCAGGTGGCACAGGACAGTGAGACCTGGGTGTATTCCCCCAAACCATTTTGTCTTCCTAAGCCTCTGAGCCTATGATGGGAGGGGTGGCCTCAAAGATCTTTGAAATGCCTTTGGGGTCTTTTTCTCATTTTCTTGACTATTAGACCTGGCCCCCTTTTATCCACCTAAACAAGTGGTTGTTCTGTAGCCCCTTCCTTCTCTACCACACAGCCAGGATGCTCATTTCCCAAATTTTTGTGCTCTGCTTCCACTTCAATTATAAGTTCCAACGTTAGGTCATTTCTTTGCTCCTATATGTGATCACAGGCTGGTAGAAACAGCCATGCCACTTCCACCTCTTGAACACCTTGCTGCTTAGAAATTTCTTCTGTCAGATACCTTTGGTCATCACTCCCAAGTTCAGCCTTCCACGAAGTCCTAGGGCATCGACACAGGCAGCCAGGTTCTTTGCTACAGCGTAACAGTGACCTCTGCTCAGGTTCCCAATACGTCTCTCATTTCCATCTGAGACCTCATCAGCCTGGCCTTCACCGTCCATATTTTTAACAGCATTTTGGTCACAACCACTTTAACCAGTCTCTAAGGAGTTCCAAACTTTCCATCTTCCTGTCTTCTTCTGAGCCCTCCATACTCTTCCTACCTCTGCCCATTACCCAGTTCCAAAGCTACTTCCACATTTTCTCGTGTACAGAGATCACATGGCAAGACAGGAAGCAAGAAGGGGGGAGGCAAGAAACACCCGGCCTGTTTTCAACAACCAGTGGCCAGAGAACTCTCATAGAAACTATTCATGATAGAGTGAGAGCCCACTCATTACTGGGAGGATGGCACCAATCCATTCAGGAGGGAGCCACCCCCATGACCCAAACACCTTCTGTTAGACCCCACCACCAACACTGGGATCAAATTTCAACATGAGGTTTGGAGGGTCAGATATCCAAACTATAGCTCTTACTATGGTGACAGGCTTTATAACAGCAGAGAACAAAAAGGAACTGCACACATTTGATCCTTCTATATCCTTTGATGCATCTCATTGAATTTCAGTTTTTTAAAGAAATTGGAAATCCATGGTTTGGGGGTAACCTCAACTGGAGAGCCAGTTTTATCTTGTGCATGTTGTCAACCACATGGGCAGTTATTTATAGCTACACAGTCTGTGTTCTCTGGCTAATAGACACACCGTCTTTTATATCCAGCCTTCAGTAGGCCGGTCTGAGGTAGCATCACTTGTCTGCACAGTGACCCAGAATTCCTAATGAGATATTCTTGAATTTTTTTAAAGGGCTACTGATTTGAAAGTTGTGAAATCTAATATTAACATACATAGAGAGAACAGTAACCCAAAAGAGCTATGATAAAATCAATGATGGTTATTGTAGGTCAAAAAAGGGGGTGGGGGAATGAATAAAATATTAGGAGAACAAACAAGGGACCAAAGCCAAGAGCAACAGAAAACACTGTAATAATTCCTGATCATTAGGTTGGAAGAGAAGAATAGCAGGTTTGATTTTGAATCACCCACAATAGAGCACTAATTTTGACCAGAGATAAGAATAGGACTTGAATTATAAATCAACTGATCTATAAATAGAGTGTGGTTTAATGTACTTGGGTTCTAGATGTCAAATATATTAACTTTTTAAATATGTTTTAAGTTTTGCATTTTGTTCCTAGAATGAATTTTAAAATGCATTCTATGATAGTGTTCATTGAACCCAAATACCGCATACTACAAAACTAGAACATTTAATTTTGTAATTAGACTTCAGAAACAGAAAATTCACTTAAGAAAAGTAATTATGGCTAGAATTGCTAATGGGCGATTTTGTTTCTTGTCTGTGGATTTTGCACTGAGGCAGCTTGGATTCTACAATGCTGTCGCCATTCCCTGCTACACCACCCTGACCCAGATCCTGCCCCACACGGAGCCTCTCCTCAAAGCATGCAGGTATGTACAGTGGTTCAAGCTGTAGTGTTATTTTAAAAAACAAAAGTAAGACCCTGTGTGGTATCTTTTTACTCCATCAATGTGTGTGCTTAGCCACAGTTTACAATAAATACTATAATTTTGTCAATGGGCTGTGTATTTGTCTAGGTAGCAGGTTGTTGTGTTCAGGGTTCTGGTGGTCCTAGTCAACCAGCTGCCCCGGGTGGCTCCTCCCCTGGGATCCAACTCTCATCAGGATGAGTCTTAGACTCTGTCTGACATTCAGCTCGTTCTGGAAGCTCTGACAGGGGCGGAGCAGGCACAGGCTGGTGGCAGGGGGAGGTGGCAAAGTCAGGGTCAGAGACCAGTGGACTGGGACCATTCTCAGAGTCTGGGGGTCCTGCCACTCCCTCACACCCGCACTCAGTCTGGGTGTTACCAGGTGGGGTTTTTTTTGTTGTTTTTTTTTTTCCATAAAAGGAGTTTAGTTATTCTTATAAGCATAAGCTTTGTTTTAAGCTTCATGGAAGTTGTGTCTGTGCTGGGGTGGCCTTGTCTCCTGGAAATTCCTGGGCCGGGACAGACATCCCTGGGTAGACTTGCACTATACAGCTAAGTGACACATGGTGTCGGCCTCGCCAGATGCTCGAGTGGGCCCGTGGCTTCCATTAATCTCATAGCCACGATATATCTTTTATGGGATGCTGTGCACGTGTGTGAGGAGTATTTATGCATGGACCCTTCATTCACCAAAAAGGAGCAAGAAGTTTATGAGGATGATGCAGAGGATGATGCGGAGGTCCCCACCCAGTGCTGTTTTAAAAAAATCGGACAGTAATGTCTGTGTAAAGGTGCTTGGGAGGAAAGAGGCTCAGCTTAAGTCACGCAGTTTATTATTTAAGAAGGGGGAAAACTTGAATGGGGAACCCCTTCCTCTTTAAGTTTTCTTTTCTTCCAAAAAGAAATGTAAGCCATTTGTTATCTGTTCTAGCTTCAGATTTCTCCCTGTCTGAAAGGTGACCCCTCCACACCTGACCGGCACCCAGTAAATGTTACCACCATGTAAGCACCTTAGTATAGATCAGTTAGTACCAATTTGATGGTGAATACATGTGGTGCTTGTTTTTCCATCCTTATGATACTTCACTCTGAAGGATGGGCTCAGGCTCTCAAGCTCTATCCAGGATCATACAAGAGGTGCTAGATCACATTGTTTCTTGCGGCTGAGTAGAACTCCATGGTATACATACACCATATTTTATTAATCTACTCGTGCATTGGTGGGCACTCGAGTTGTTTTCACATCTTTGCAATTGTGAATTGTGCTGCCATAAACATTTGAGTGCAGGTGTCTTTATTATAGAATGTCTTTTTTTCACCTTGGGTAGATGCCTAGTATTGCTGGATCAAATGATATTTCTATTTTTAGCTCTTTGAGATATCTCCAAATTACTTTCCACAGGGGTTGTACTAGTTTGCAGTCCCACAGCCGTGTAAAAGTGTTCCAATCTCTCCACATCCACACCAGCATTTGTTATATTTGGACTTTTAGATAAAGGCCATCCTCACTGGAGTTATGTGATATCTCATTGTGGTTTTAATTTGCATTTCCCTAATGATTAGAGATATTGGGCACTTTTTTTATGTTTGCTGGCCATTATTCTGTCTTTTTTTGAAAAATTTATGTTCATGTCCTTTGCCCACTTTTTAATGGATTTGGTTTTTTTTCATGTTAATTTATTAAGTTCTATATAGATTCTTTTTATCATCCCTTTATCAGATGTGTAGCATGCAAATATTTTCTCCCATTCTGTAGGTTGTTTATTTGTCTCATGATAGTTTCCTTGGCTGTGCAGAAGCTTTTTAACTTGATCAGGTCCCATTTATTTATTTGTATTGCTGCTGTGATTGCTTTGGGGGTCTTCTTCATAAATTCTTTGCCTAGGCCAATGTCTATAAGAGTTTTTCAACATTTTCTTCTAGAATCCTTAAGGTTTCATGCCTTAAGTTTAAGTCTGTTAACCATCGTGAGCTGATTTTTGTTAGAGATGAGAGGTGGGGATCTAGTTTCAATATTCAGTACATAGCTATCCAGTTTTCCCAGCACCATTTATTGAATAGAGATTCTTTTCCCCAATTTATATTTTTGTCTGCTTTATTGAAGATTAGATGACAATATGAAGATGGTTTTATATCTGGGTTCTCAGTCCTATTCTAAAGGTCTATATCTCTGTTCTTGTGTCAGTACCATGTTTTTTACTATAGTCTTGTAGTATAGCTCAAAGTCTGCTAGACTGATGCCTCCCAGTTTGTTCTTTTTGCTTAAGATTGCTTTGGCTATACGAGGTCTTCTCTGGTTCCATACAAAGCATAGAATTATTTTTTCTAGATCTGTAAAGAATGATGATAATATTTTGATAGGGATTGCATTAATTCTGTATATTACTTTGGGCAGTGCGGACATTTTAACAATATTGATTCTACCAATCCATGAGCATGGTAGGCTTTTCCATCTGTTTACATCTTCTACAATTTATTTTCTAAGTGTTTCGTAGTTCTCCATATATATGTCTCACACCTCCTTCATTAAATATGTTCCTAAACATTTGATTTTCTTTGAACCTATTGTGAAAGATGTTGCATATTTTATTTGATATTTGGCTTGACTGTAATTAGTGTATATTTATGCCAGTGATTTGTGTGTATTGATTTTGTATCCTGAGACTTTACTGAATTCGTTTGTCAATTCCAGGCGTCTCTTGGTTGAATCTTTGGGATTTTCTAGATGTAATATCATATCGTCAGCAAAGAGTGTGAGTTTGACCTCTTCTGCCTCCATTTGGACACCTTTCATTCCCCTCCCTTGTCTGACTGCTCTGGCAAGGGCTTCCAGCACTATGTTGAATGAAAGTGGAGATGGTGGGGAACCTTGTCTGGTTCTAGTTCTAAGCAGGAATGCTTTCGGTTTTTCCCCATTCAGTATGATATTGGCTATGGGTTTATCATATATGGCCTTAATAATTTTAAGGTATGCCCCTCTATGCCTATTTTGTTAAGAATTTTTGTCACAAAAGTGTGCTGGATTTTGTCAAAGGTTTTTTATGCATCTATTGAGAGAATCATATGGTCTTTGTTCTTGCTTTTATTTATGTGGTGAGTTGCATTTATAGATTTGCATATGTTGAACCAACCTTGAATCTGTGGGATAAAGCCCACCTGGTCATGGTGAATTATTTTTTTGATGTGCTATTGGATTTTGTTTGCTAAGATTTTATTGAGGATTTTTACATCTCTATGTATGAGGGATATTGGTCTATAGTTTTCTTTTTTTTGTTGTTGTGTCCTTTCCTGGCTTTGGTATCAAGATGATATTGTCTTCATAGAATGAATTAGTGAGGATACAATCCTTCTCAATATTGTGGGATAATTTCTGAAGTATAAGTATGAGTTCTTCTTTGTAGGTTTATAAAATTCAGTTGTGAACCCATCTGGTCCAGTACTTTTTTTTTCAGTTGGAAGATTTTTAATTGCTGCTCCAATTTCTGTGATTGATATTAGTATGTTCGGGAATTCTGTTTCTTCCTGATTAAGCTTAGGAAAGTTGTGTGTTTCTAAGTATTTTTCCATTTCCTCCACATTTTACAGTTTTGGAGCATATAGATTTTTATAATATTCAAAGATAATCTTTTGTATTTCCATGATGTCTGTAGTAACCTCTCTTTTTTCATTTCTAATTAAGTTTATTAGAGTCCTTTCCTTTCTAGTTCTTGTCAGTCTAGCAAGAGGGCTGTCAATTTTGTTTATCTTTTAAAAAAACCAACTTTTGGTTTTATTAATCTTCTGTATAGTTCTTTTGTTTTCGATTTCATTTAGTTCTGCTCTGATCTTAGTTATTTCTTTTCTTCTGCTAGGTTTAGAATTAATTTGCTCTTCCTTTTTCCAGTTCCTTGAGATGGTTTATTAGTTTGTTGATTTGTGAGCTTTCTGTCTTTTGGATATGAGCATTTATTGATATTAGTTTTCCTCTCAGGAATGCTTTTGCTGTATCCCACAGATTTTGATAACTTATGTCCCCGTTATCATTTAGTTTGAAAAATCTTTTTATTTCCATCTGGATCTCTTCCTTGACCCAATAGTCATTCAGTAATAGACTGTTCAATTTCTATGACTTTGTGAAGTGGTGAGTGTTTCTGTTGGAATTGATCTCTAGTTTTATACCACTATGGTCTGAGAAGATACCTGGTACAATGCCTATTTTTTTAAATTTGTTGAAATCTGATTTGTGGCCTAGGGTGTGATTGCTTTTGGCAAAAGTTGCATCTAATGCATCTAACCCACAAAGATGCCTTCAGAGTCAAGGTCAAGGGTTGGAAAACAAACTTCCAGGCAAATGGAAGCTAGAAGAAAGCTCAGTAGCTATTCTTATACCAGATACCATAAACTTTAAAATAGCAAAAGTAAAGAAAGACAAATATAGTCACTATATAGCGATGAAAGGAAAACTCTAACAAGAAGACTTAACTATTCTTAGTATTCATGCACCCAACGTAGGAGTGCCTAGGTATATAAAGTAAGCCCTGTTTGATCTAAATAATTTGGTAAACAGTAATGCCATAGTAGTGGGGGATTTCAACACCCCACTGACTGAACTGGACAGATCCTCTAAGCAGAAAATAAGCAGAGAAACAATGGATTTAAACAGAGCTCTAGAACAAATGAGTCTAACAGATATCTATAGAACATTCCACCCAAATAAAGCTGAATATACATTCTTCTCATGAGCTCATGGAACTTTCTCCAAAATTGAGCCCTTTCTTAACTGTGTGGGTGACCACACTCAGGAGCGGCTGGAGTGAATACACTACGAAGAGGACAGAGGATGGACATTTGGCCAGATTGTTTTAAACAAAACCAAAAACAAACATAGTGTTCCAGCATTCTGTGCTGCTGAGACTTATTTTGAGGCCTTTTGTTAAGGAAAACAAACACAACCAATAAGCAAGAACATAAAAAAATTATCTCACACACCCCACCCCACCCCCCCGCCAATTTTAAGAGATGGCTTCTCCTCTCCACTGCTGGAAGGTAGACACAACATCCCTGCTTGTTTTGGTGAATCTTACTTGACCCTAGTTAGTGGTTAGTTTATTAAAAATCTCAACTCTATTATAAAAGGGCCAAGCCATGCTGGTCTGTGTGGAGTGTGAGCCAGGACCCACTCTTGATGGAATTAGGTTATTAAAAATATATATACTATTGAAGAGAAATTGGGATATCAATCTAAATTCAAACATATTTTTAGAAAAATCCTAACAAATCTTCAGAAGTCCTTTCCTATCCAAAAATTCTCTGTGTTTTATGCCGGATACTTAGAAACCAGCAGAAGGAATGCTTGCTGTGGTTGTCAAGCCCTGGAAAAGTTACTGAGGAACTTTACATGGAAGCTTGCTAGTGTGGTATTCCGCCGTTTTGGCAGCTTTGACACACTCCTGCGTCAATGTGCTTGGCTGAACCACGTAATCTCTTAAAGGGCATTTTAGTCTTATTAACACTTAAAAAATTCATTATGTATTAGTGTTCGAGAAAACATATGTCTTTTTCCAATATATCAGAAAATCTCTGGGATCTGGAAAAATGGTATTTGATGCTATGGTATAAAAGTTAAAAGTGTCAACACTTTTCAGGTTATATTTTGGGGACTTCTTTTGTCCGAGGTGTCTTAGCATATTTGCTAACGGGAATTCGAGGGAACAAGTTGAAAACCGTGCTTAGTATGAATTTGGTGTTCTCCCAAGCCAAGGTTCCCTTCTGACCTCGACTCTGCATGTCAGCACATGGAGTCCAGGCGGGGCATGTGGGTAGCGGCTCCGCCAGGGCCGCCACGGAGAAGGTGCTGGGTGTGCAGGCTGTGGCCACACGGCTAGCGACGATTAAGAGGCCCGTGATGTCTGCATTGAAGACACTGAGAGAGAGATGAGAGGACTGGAGGGGTGCGCCTGCACTTCAGAGGAGAGGCCACCAGCATGCAAACACGGTTTCACTGTAACAAGGGAATTTCAAAGTCTGTTCCTGATCTAATGTAAGATGACTTGTTGCGCATGGCACGGTGTTCAAAACCAGGACACTCCCCCGTTTCAAGGGTGCCATGATAGGGCTAAAGGCCTCCAGGGAGCCACGCTGTTCCCACCTCTCAGAGTGCAAAGCCCCGGGCCCTTCGTGTTGTTCCCGAACGTCCCGGACCGCTTCTCGGCCATTCTCCCTTTCCATGTGTCCTGCATATTCCTCTGTGGTCAGTCCTAGGGAGCATTCCCTTTTCGAGTTGGTCCCTCTACCTGACTAAGAAATGACATATCCTTTTTGCCCTCGTGGTCGAGAGCTGACAGGACAAGGTGCCCCTGGCGCTTTGTTGGTGCAGAGGCTCTGTCCTGAGGAGGTGTCGTGACCGCCTGCCTGACCGTGGCACCCATGTGACCGTCAGGGCGCGCCACAGAGGGCCCTCGTGCATAGTGGCACCACGGGGCTGTTTGGTTAATTTCTGAGAGAGAGCCCAGAAATCCCGCTTGAAACCTTACCTGTAACTGCATCCGTTACCCATAGGGACAATCTCAACCAGTGGGAGAAGGTGATTCGAGGGGAGGAGAGCGCGACGTGGATCTCATCCCCACCCGCCCACGCCCCAGGGCCCTCCAAGAAGCTGCCCCTGAAGAGCTCGACCACCGACCACCACTGAGGCGCTGCCCCGCCTGAGCATTCTCATCCTGCTTCTGTGACTTTTTTCCTTTTATTTTTGTGGGGGGACCTACGCCTGGTAACTGAGGTACAAACCTCTCCAAGAAGGTAACACCAAGGAGAGATGTCGGGCAGATGCCCTCCTGCCGGGGTCATCTGCGGGGCATCTCGGGCGGAGGACACCAGGACCACCGTGCTCAGAGGGCAGCCGGCACGTGACTCCTCTGACTTGCGAACTGGCCTTTCTAACAGGCTGATCCTGCTGAGGCCTTAACGGAAACGGACAAAACCATCCCGAAGGGGCACTGTCCCACTGTGTCTGTCTCACCAGGGTTTACAGTGGTACTACGACGGCATCGTACTTGGGCTGTAACACCCGTGTTGCTTCGATGTCGTTGGTTTTAAATAGGAAGTTTTACCCATTACTATTGTGAACGTCCACGAGTGAACTGCTTGTAATTAACTTCAGTTGCAGCCCCCAGCCTCAGGACAGATGTCAATGAGATCACAGAGCAAGAAGTGGCAGAAAAAGTCAGATTCTTATTTCAAATCTTCATGAATTTGGTTAAGTGGGCTAAAGTGTATTCTTTAAGTTTATACTAAAGGGCTTAGATGAATAAATTTAACACTAAGAGGAGTAGACTGTCCCTTTTGAGAAGAGATGCAGGTGTACATTACAATAAATCTCAGAACTTCAAGTATCAATTCAAAATATGTCAAATAATTAAAAATAACTTTTTTCTTCATTGTTGTCTTGGCAAATTTACTGAACCCTTTGCATAAAGAACAGAATAAAAGCAAGGCAGTGCAAATTTTTTTTTAAATGGACAAGTCTTATGGATGTAAGATGTGAATTTTTAATAATGATTCCTTTATATTTTCATTTTATGTTATTATAAAATTTTAGACTCACATTCAAAATGAAAAGTTTATTCTAGAAATTATTTAATTAGAATACCATACATCTCTTTTTAAAAAATCAAATTAAACCATAAAATTTAAGTCTTCTGTATTTTACTTTGATCTGCCGCATTCACCTCCCGTTGACCACGCTCCTTATGCTACGCAGTCATATTTCATAAGCTCCCCGTCCGTGGGATGGAGGTTGAAGAAGGCAGTACAGTCGCATCGCACTTATTCCTGTTCCCTGCTCTTCTCACAGATCAAATATCTACATAGAAACCTGTGGTTTGGATAGTTTCTTCTGTGAAGCTTCTGTGCAATGTAAATGTTTTAAAAAATACGAAAGTTTTAAAAAAATACGAAAGTAACACTCTGGACCCCTTCCCACAAGGATTACAAGGAAGCCACTACTGGTGCATATTAATACTTTGCAGGTTTTTAGCACAATGGCACAGTAACCTCTGAACCTGTGGTTAGTTCTCACTTGAAGGAGTTAGATAGAGTCTCAAGAACTGTCAGGCCAATCCATGACAAATGGTCTATTCACTATTCACATGGCAGAAAACTGGAATATCACTTTTAATAAAATAAATTTTTAAAATATGCTTCTACATATTTAATACTATATACATTGTTTATATGAGCTTGGTTTTTGCAAAATTAATTAAGAGGCTTCTACAACATGGCTTATTTATGTTGTAGCAGAGTTAGCTATACATAAACATTGTTCTTATGTTAAAAATTAACACTATGTGTTCAATTTCCTTATGGGCTTCGGAAAGTTGCCATCTTCCCTACGTGGAGCTCCATTTGCTATTTTAATTATACAACGTGACGTAAAAATGTAATAACTAAAGGGAGATGAATACCACTGTGGCTAGATACACACACCTGTGGATGGATGTAATGTATGTAGACAGAGATGTATATATGATACACACTCATATGTACATATGTAGACATACACACATATGTATAAATATGATATACACACATACCCACATATATATGACAGGAGAGAAAGAAAAGTAAACACATATGAAAGATAAAGAAACATCCCCATTCTTCAAAAACAGTGATTTTTTGTGTTAGAAAATATATATTGCTTGATACAGAGTTGACTAGAAAGTGTCATTTTTGTGTTAGTGTATTCACTGATTCCATTAAACTCTAAAAAGTTGCATATTTTTCTGCATACAAGTTTATGAAACTAGATTCCACCATATACAACTTTAATTACAAAAGTTAATTTAGCCATCTAATTTAACTTGGAGACTGAATTGCAAGAGGGACTATATCATGTAATACTATTATTTAATTAAAAGGATTTTAAAGGAATTGAGGAATTCTGCTTTAAAATATAGAAAACAATCATGGAGGTGGGAATCTTATGGCTATTTTTGCATATGAAGATTGTTCCCATAAGATCATTATAGAAAATTCTCTTAGTTTCTTATTGTCAAGTGTATTATATTATGTGACCTCTACTTTGAACAGTTTCCCAAAGGAATGTATGGATTTATTGGTTGGTTGATCTCTTGTGAAATATTGTCGTAAGAGAAGCACAGTTTGAACAAAATACTATATTCTAATTTAAACTGTTAATATTTTTTTTACCATGTGTAAGATTTTCTTAGTAATCATAGATTTACCTAAAATAAAAGGGTCCAGGATGCAGTGATATTTAGTTAATAATTTCTTTTGGAAAACATGCAGTCAGGAGTATTTTTATATTTTGGTAGCTATCTTTAGCAGATAAACTTTTTAGTTCTGTTTCTTACCTTTTCCCCAGAATTTTTCTTAAAAGGTAATATATTAATAATTACCAGAAGTCAGGCAGATAGATTTGATTACCAAAATTTTGGTGAATTTCTCATTAAGGTGACATTTTATATTGGGCCAACTTTTCCCTGTCCAGTATAAATTCGGTAACCAGCTATGAGTATATGTAGAATGTTCAGTTTGCAGAGATTTATATCAGTTTTGTTGATTTATAAAAGGCAAGGTTTATGGTCACATGCAATTATTCCATCATCCTTTCAGACATAGTGAATATATTTTTTAGCTAGAAATGTTCTTAGAAATATAAATGCATGCCAACAACATGAAATATTGAAGTCAGGCAGTGAAATAAATTCCTTAAAAAAATGTAAGCACCTTATTAATTAGCAGTTGATTCTCTGAGTTAATTAATTAGGAAAACTTGAAATGCAGTGAATGTGGAGGCTGATTCTCAAAAGCGACCTCGTTCCCAGGGCAGAGATTGTGACCCATTTCCCAGCCTTAGTTATGTCTAAGAAACATATGAGAAACCAATATTGCAAAAGGGATCAACTTGAAATATTAGACTCAATTGTCTTCGTTCCTGCTCTTCTTCAATGGAAAAGGACTGTACAGATGATTACAGTGGTACTCCAAGTGTCTCGTTCTCACAGCAGCAAAAACAGAATTAATTTGGAGCTAGATTTGTTCAGTATAGGTTTCCTCTTTTGGGCATGCTTTCTAGATATTTTTCATTTTGTACAACCTCAGTGAATTTTGCTTTATTGGTATGTTCATGTACACTAGATATGTTTGTGCAGGATATAAGTAGATGTATAAATCCTTAGATACCTGGAGTTTTTAATAGGTTTAGATTTTGATATTGTGTTCCTGGTCTTTTAACTCAAAATTAAGGTTTGAGCTTTAATAGAACTAAATGACCATGCCTTGGCTGTGCCTTTATTTTAAATACTATGATTTTACTTCCTCATTCATGTATTTATTATTTTGCTTTTATTGGTAATCTGTAATTGAAAACATTTAAAGGGACACATCCATGGTTAATTTTGTCAAATTGAATGAGTAGGATCATTCTCTTCTCATCAGATTTCTATCCTTTATTTAACTTCATTAACATATACCCTGGTGACTGTAACCAACAAACTGTTCAGATTCAGTCCTTTCTGCAAGAACAATGACACTGATTCTGATGTGATTTTGTTGGGTTTCAGGTACATAAGCATGATTTAGATTTTGAAAATCACTTCTCTTTTTACATATTTCAAACATGTGTTTGCTTTCTTACACTTTACTGATTTTATTCAGGCTTTTATTCTTTAAAGACTATGTTCATTCAGTCACTATAGTGGATACTTTCTATTGGAAGTATTGGTCTGATTTAAAAATCATTGTAAAATATAAATTAGCTGAATATGCTATCAGGTATTGTTTCCCCAGGCTTGTCAGCGCATGGCTGTTACATTTTTACATGAGCATAAGTGCTTATCCTGATACGCCTTTTGCTGACTTCTTTAAACATTTATACTAAGTTTAAACAAATGATATCCAATGCAGTACACACTTTTTATATATTTTTTTTAAACTGGATATTTTGGTTATCTGAAGCATTGGATGCATTTTATGTGTTGGATAAAAATAGCAAAAGAGAAAGAAGAAAAGTTTCGGTGGTGTGCTTGTTCCAAATTACAAAGATAGAACAAAAAGAAAGACATCAATGATTCCCAAGAAACACATTTAAAATCCCAAGAAGCATTACTATCTTCACTTGATTTTTCTCTTCTCCCCTCAACACTGGAAAGCAGTGCTTTGTAAGTCGGATACAGTCTACCTGCTCTTTCCTGCAGGTGTGAGAAAACTGCCGCTGAAAGCACACGGGGCGTGGCTCTGTGGGGCGTGCGTAATGTCACCTAAGCACCAAGGCAGACACAGCTGAATCCAGAGTTTGCCAAATAGGAGGTCGGTTTACGCAGTTCAGTTTTGAACCGATGTTTTTGTAGTACTGTATATTGGCAGAAGTTTAAGTGGGAAGTTTTTTATTTCTATTGTAAGTTAAGTTTTAAAAGTGTATTATCTAATACTCAAGCCCAACTAAAATATCGCATACCATGGGCATTGCAGCCTTCATTTTTTTTCTTTAGTCACTTTAATATCCAGTCCTATGCTGTATCTCAAATAGCCTGTATAAATGACAGATGGAAACATTATTTTCCATCTGATGTGTTATGTGGTGTATATGCTATGTGTTCATGTAGTGTGCAAATTGAAAGTACAATAGATTTATCCACAGAAGTATTTCTACACAATGCCCCTACCTATCTGAAATTACACGCTTGCCCAAAACACTGTCTTTACCAAAATTTGTACAGATTCGGCATCTTGATTCTTTCTGAGAAGAACAGGTGACCTTCTTTACATGACCATATGAACAAAAGTGAGTCTATATCCAGATAGGGCATCTAAGAGTTTGCTGGGATGATCTCCTTGCTGACCAAAACCTGCTGGAGTGTAATGGAGATTATGTGTTATCAGAAATACAATGCTCATAATTAACTGACTTTTGAGTCAACAAATCTGCATCCAAAGTTTTGATAGGCTCTCTGTTGGAAGGAGAAAGAATTTCAAATTAACAGTATTCAACTTTATCACAGTTGATGAGTTAGCAAATTTAAAAAATGATTTTGTATGTATGACATAAAAATCTTTGTAAAATGCACAAGTGCAATAACTTAAAGAGGTCTTAACTTTGCATTTATAAATTATAAATATTGTACATGTGTGTAATTTTTTCATGTATTCATTTGCAGTCTTTGTATTTAAAAGAAACATTTACTGTTATGTTTGTATAATAGAACAGTACTCATTTATTATAACCTAGGCAAGTTGTAAATAAATTCATAATTCAAACAGCCATTATATATGCATATATGGGTGTTATATTGCAGAATCTATCTTTGTTTTACTTACATTCTTAGAGCAGCAAGAATTCTTTTGTCAATATGTAATTATACATATAAAGTATATATATGTATGATACATGAAATATATATAGAAATGTTCATAATTTTAATGGATCTCCTTTGGTGTGAATAATTGAATACAGAGTTTTTAAAATATCTTTCACGTTTATCATTTGCTCTCATTTGTGCGGAAGATCAGGGACACCTCATGAAAGCTCATTTGAAAACACTCTGGGCCTTGATTGCCTAAAAGACACCCCGTTAACACGCAAGTGATGCGTTTGGTTTGCTCCAGCCCTTTCCTGCAGAAAGGATGAGACAACATAAAATGTCGATTTGCCAACTCCATTGTGCAATCTGAAAGGCTCAAAGACCGGGGAGCCAGTGGGTTTGTAGGATGATGCTTCAGAATACGGAGCTGGCGACACTGCGGCTTGACCCACGGGGCCCCAGGTAGCTCCCCTCCCGGGCACGCCACTCACCCACGTCCTGCTGGACGGAGAAGTGCTGGGCAGGAGACGGGGCGTGTGTGCTTGTGTGTAAGTACTGGGGTTGCTTCTGCCGTAGCAAAGAGCATTCTCCAGGCTAAAACCTCTGAACTGAAGACTGCACACAGTGACAAGCATGGTCTCATCTTAAAAAACTCTGCTTAAAGAAACTGTGTTTTTGTTTTGGCTATCTCTGCATGCCATCAGGCGGGCAGGCAAATGATCAATATTTAAGACTAAAAAGTTAAAGTTCACTTGTATCCCAAGATCCTTCCTAGCCTTAAACATATTAGACATAAATTTTGGAGTTATAAAAAAAAAAAAAAGCTTACTGGAATACAGGTCTGCTGTGTTGTTAAATGTCATGCCCCCAGCCATGAGACTGGGGAGGGCAATGGGGACAGCCCTCAAACTGGGGTTCTTCCCTAACACCGAGTTCTTACTAACGGAGTGCTTTCCACACCGATAGCCCTGTATGCAGTGTAGACAGGGTTTTTGTGCAATAGTCATTTACCCTGAAACTGAATAAAATGTTTACTATGCTAAAAATACATTTCACGAGCTAACGCAGCCATGCAATCGTTTGGTAATTCAAGCTGCAGATCAGCACTCGCTAAAGCTGATCCGAGTTTGAATCCTCATCTTAATTACGTGTGCATCTGATTTTTCCGTCAACTTGAGCTCAGGAGTTTTGAGAGTAACACTTCTCCGTCATATCTATTTCTTAATGCAGAAACAACCCTCCAAAGCAGCACTTAACAAGCAGGTGTTTAGGCGGCACTTACACGCGGGCGGCAGGCAGGAGTGACTGGCAGGGGGCGTGGGCGGGAGGGCGGGCGTGTGCATCCGCTGGTCCGGAGGGGACACTGACCCCCTGCAGCCTCCTGCCAAGGTCACCGCCGACTCCTGTGCACGCGCTTCTTTCTGTGATCACCTCCCCACAATCACAGCCACTGACACGTTTAAACACCTGAAAATCCTAGACCGGCCCTCCAACAGTCTGAGGGACAGTGAACCGGCCCCCTGTTTAAAAAGCTTGAGGACCCTTGTCCTAGACATTTAACCAGGTTTTTTTTAATTAAAAAAAAACCAAGAAAACAAAAAAACCACACAATCAATGTTGTCCACGTAAGAGGAAACTAAGCTTGACGAGACAGAAGCACGTTCCCTTGCTCTCCACTCTTCTCCTCTTCCCACACGCTTCCCCCACCAGCACAGACAGGAAGAACCTTGCACAGCAGGTGTAGACTTTGCCCCGTTGGGTACTGAGGAGCAAAAAGAAAGTGACCAGAAAAAAAAAAAAAAAGAATCAGGAATTTGTTTGAAACATCAACTTCCAAATTCGTTGCTAGTGATCTGTTCTGATAATGTCTAGCGTCTCTGTCCCTGATTAGGCAGAACTCTCGCTCAAAGTGATGTCCTCGGAGCATGGCAAATAGTCAGTAGAAAGAAAAAAAGGATTCCAGCATTTTAGCATACAGAACGACTAAAGTACTTGAATATATCCATCACACACATTAATAAAACAACATTTACTCTTAGCCTTGCATTAACTAAAAAAAAAGCCACATATCGGAATACCCCATTTCCTAAGTTTTCTGGGTCTCCAGGTTTGGACCGTGTGAAATCACGAAAGTTGGGGCTGGGACCTGGAGGTCACTGGTACGACCTGCCGTCAGCCAGGGCGAGATCCAGTTGCCAGAAAGTTCTATCCTAAGCTGACCTGGAATCTGTCGCTTTATGATTTCTGTCTGGACCCACTAGTTCTGTACTCGCCGCCACATGGAGAAGTCCCCTCCCCTTTATCTGACGACCTCCGGGCGGTCCAGGACAGTGACGGCTCTTCCTAGTGCTCAACCTGGTCTTGTAGATCTCTTTAAGACACAAGTTGGCCGGGGCACCTGTGACCCTCCTGACATTCTCCCAGAGCGGTGTGCCCGAGGCCCGCTGCTGGCCCTGACTCCAGAACAGAGCCGGACTTGCTAGGGTGACCAGCGGGCACTCGGGGCGCATCTCCTGCCACCTTCCCTCCCCCGTGGCCCCGTCGTGTGGAATCCACACGTGTCCTCTTGTGACTATGTCACAAAACTCCACCAGAGTGACTTCACCCTGCCTTCTGTTTAGTCTACTCATTCATTTCTCTTTTTTTTTGAGACAGAGTCTCACTCTGTTGCCCAGGCTATAGTGCCATGGCGTCAGCCTAGCTCACAGCAACCTCAAACTCCTGGGCTCAAGCAATTCTCCTGCCTCAGCCTCCCGAGTGGCTGGGACTACAGGCATGCGCCACCATGCCTGGCTAATTTTTTCTATATGTTTTTAGTTGCCCAGCTAATTTCTTTCTATTTTTAGTAGAGATGGGGTCTCACTCTTGCTCAGGCTGGTCTCGAACTCCTGAGCTCAAACGATCCTCCTGCCTCGGCCTCCCAGATTGCTAGGGTTATGGGCCTGAGCCACCGCGCCCGGCCAGTCCACTCGTTCTTAAGGACGCCGATGTCCCCTCCCCTGAGTGAGGGTCTGTTTCCCCCAGTCAGTCTCGTGTCCCTCCTGCACATGTTCCCTGTCCTACCTGAGTCACAGGGGCAGAGCTGTGACGTGCACCACGCCCAGCATGAAAGGATGGAGGTCACCATGCATTGACAGCTCACTGTTCGCCCAGCGCCCCAAATCCTACTTGTACCAACTCAACCCTCAGACTAATTCCATCAATTATGCATTTATTATCCTTCTTTTCAAGATGAGAAAAACGAAATTCAGAGAGGTTGAGTAGTAGCACACCCGCTGGGGCTCAGGCAAACACGGCGCCGTCTGTATGCACTGGGCATCCCCTCGCAGTGCCTGCTAGCAAAGGCTGCGTCTAGAATCACGGCAGGCGCAGGCAGCATTCCCCGTGCTAGTCGCGGTCCTAGGTCCTCAGCCGCGAGGCTCCTTGTCCACCCCGCCTCGGTGGGGACTAGGAACGTGGAGTGGTGACTCAGAGAGAAGGGACGGGCAGCACTCTGCTCTTCACTTGCAAAGTAAAATGTGGAAATTCACAGTATTGAGAAGAAAACCGTTTATAGGCATTTATGAGCTAATGATGTGACTTAAGCGAGATGTTTTCAAGATACTTTTCCACCCTCCACACTGAGGGCTGCCCGCACGGCGGGAGGGAGGAAGGAGAGGAAGAAAGCAACTGGAGGTGTGCACAGGTGGTCTCGAACACAGCCCCAACCCTGCCCTTCACTCGAGATGAGGCCCGCAGAGTGGGGCGGGGGTGGGAGGGTACTTCTACCCCCGTCTCAACTTGGTGGAGTCTGACACCAACAGGGGCCTTGCGCCTGCTTTTGCTCCAGAGCTCAGAGTGGGGGGCACGGCCCGGAGTCTCACACCCAATCCGGCATGTGGCAAAGGGCAGAAGCAACCAGCAGTGGCAGGAGGTGACCAGGTGCCCCAAAACCCAACCCCCGCAACGCCGGAACGAACCCCCAAAAGAAAACGAACCAACGGTGGGACCCCGGGGGTGCAGCTCCGGGTGGCCACACGCCGTGTGGCTGGAGGTCAGGGGTCCCCCTGCCCCTGAGAGCACCAGCCCAGAGAAGCCCAGACAGGCTCGGAGCCCGGCTCGAGGGCAAGGTGGCAAGGCCAAGCCGTCGAGGACACTGGGACAGCAGTCGTCTGGGCTGCTCAGCAGGACAGGGCCCTTCCTTGCCCCTGTCCCCAAGCCCACATCGGACCTCCCGCCCCACTGAGCCCAGCCCCCGCTCGCCCCCACCAGCTCGGGGAGAAAGAAGAGCGGGACTCCGGCTTTCCATTCCAGTGATTTAAAACCCGAGCAAATTGAAGAAGCAGCGAGTCTAGTAGACTTTACTCGAGTAGGATGTCTGAGTTAAGTTTCCTGTATTAGACACATTAGGAATTCAAGACAAATTAAACACATTTTTAGAAAAAGAGTTACAATTTTTACAGTTGAATTCCGAGCCAGTGAAATGGGTGTTTCCTGTGCTGGTGTAGCCTTTCTGCACCTCACAGTCTTGGTTCCTGTAGCGCGGGGATTTCTTTAACTTGTTCCTGGTGACCAGTGACTACGCAGTGCGCCGAGAGTGACACAGAACTGACGATAGAGCTCGTGTGTAAGTAGGTATAGATACAGGTATATCACAGTCTCAGTGGGTCACAATGGGGTGCCATCATCACTGGCTAATGTTTCCTCGCTGAGGGAACTGCCAAAATTCCCCTTGCTTTCTTCCTCTCGTTCCTCCCTCCCGCCGTGCGGGCAGCCCTCAGTGTGGAGGGCGGAAAAGTATCTTGAAAACATCTCACTTAAGTCACATCATTAGCTCATAAATGCCTATAAACGTGCCACTCCTGTGGATTCCACAGCCTGGCAACATCCATGGGGCCTCGGGGCCGACGCAGGCACGTTAGGGCTCTTCAGAAGAACAGAACATGTGTACCGGAGACAGAGGCAGAGAGAGGGTTATCATAAGCAGTCGGCTCACGCACCTGCAGAAGCTGAGAAGTGCTTGGCCCGCCGTCCCGGAACTGGAGACCCCAGAAAGCTGCCGGTGTAAGTTCCCGTCCGTGTTGGAGACCCGAGGACTCGAGACCCCGAGGCCCGTCCCAGCCAGCGGCAGGAGGAGGACGTCTCACCTGCTGCTCCTTCTGTTCTGTCCGTGGCTCCAGGGCACTAGGCGAAGGCCGCCTCTCGTTCTGCTGAACGTTTGCGTCCCCTCCCGCAAGCCCGCATTCCCGAATCCAGTCCCCAGCGTGCCGGTCCTGGGAGGCGATCGGGTCCCGAGGGCGCAGCCTTCGTGGGTAAGGGGTAGGAACAGGACAGAGAGAAGCCTCACGCCCTTTCTGCCCCGTGAGGACACTAGTCAGATGTCCGAGTGCGGGCGGAGGTGGACCCGCGCCAGCATGGACCACCACGGCGCCCTGGTCTCTGACCTCGTCCCAGCGCTGGGAGGTCTACTCCTGTGGTCGAAAGGCCTCTCGGTTTATGGCACTTTTATGGCCGTCCGAACTGAGACACTGTCCATGCAAGTGTTAGTCTCAGTCAGAAACACCCACAGACCCTCCCAGGATGACGTTTGGTCGAATATCGGGACACCCCATACCTCAGTGACATCGGTACATAAAATCGCCCGCCACACCGGGGCTGCTGCTGTCTTCCCTCTCTTCCATCCGGATACTCACTGTCGTTTGTGAAACATTTCCTGACTCACAGGGTGCTCCTCCAATGCAGAGTCTTCACCTGTGCTTGCCTGTTTTGTCCTTTGCTTCTGTTTGCTCCCCCTTGCGTTCCCCCGTGTGCCCCGCAAGATTCCAGCTGCCTCTTTCCTTGCTCCTCTGCGATGCCGGGGCCCGGCCTTTGGGCCACGCGCCCCGTCCTTCACCCCTGTCACCTCCTCCGCTGTGGTGGGTCCTCACGCCAGCCCGGCTCTGCTGCAGACACTGGGCCCACCCCGCCATGAGCAGCAGCAACAAATAAAACACAGCTTTGCAGGCGTGTACCTTCTGGTGTGGAGACTGCAATCACGGACTGCACGATCAGTGGTGTGCGTTGAAAAAAAAAAAAAAAACTTGTACGATTAAATAAGTGTGGGGCATGCTAGAAGGATAGACTTAATGCACATCCTCAGAGGTCTCCAAGTGTCGAGTGGAAACTCTTCTCAGTGTACCCTTTGCACATCGGCCCCGCATGAACTGGGAGGCTGCGTTGTTTGCTGCATTGATAAGAAGGCAAGTGGGAGTGGAGAGATCAAGCGAGTGCCTGAAGGCACGCAGCAGCAACCCAGAGTGACACAGGAAGGTGGCCGTCCCTCCCCAGCCTGTGGCCCTGGCAACACTCTGCCAGGCGGCAGGCTATGACCTGGGACCCCCTCCTGCAAACGCCAGCACCAGTGACCATCTACCCCACGTCTCTGCCCCGGCAGCTCACATCTCCTTAACTTAAAAACAAACCAAAAATAGCCATATGGAGATTTTTTTTTCTTATATTGACTTAAATTCTGGCTTTATTTTTTATTAGAGTAACAATGTCGCCCCCACAAAATGTTCCACAGAAATAATCCTGTTACCTGCCACAGTGCCAGGAAAGTGCCTGCTGGAACGACAAGCCAAACGCTGTGCATCGGCTGCTGAAAGGAGTATGTCAGAACCGCCCGAGGGCCTCCTGCAAAGGGCTGCGCAGCGGGGCAGTGGGGGTGGGGGGGTGGGGGAGTGGGTGGGGGTGGGGGTGGGAGGCAGACGGCTCCTGGCGAGGCCGAACTCACTCCTTTCCAATTTTGGTCTTCAGGCACCGTGTTTCCCTGAAAATAAGACCTACCCATAGAATAAGCCCCAGCAGGATGTCTAAGCATGTGTACAGTGGAAGCCCCACCCCGAAAATAAGCCCTAGCGACGGGCGTGGCTGCGCAGCGCGTCTGCACAACCCGTGCATTTCGTCTTGGAGCGGGAAAGAAGACGAGCAGCCCTTCTCATCTGCCCCATCGTGACAGCTGCTGTCCCAGAGGTGACCGGAAAGGTGTGGGCAGCCCCGCCAACAAGGTCGGCTCCCCCCGTCGGGTCCCGGCCATCCTGTGCAAGCTGCAAGCTGAGGCTTCGAGGGAAAAATCACACGTCCCCTGAAAACAAGCCCCGGGGTGTCTTCTTGAGGAAAGACACATATAAGACCCGGTCTTATTTTCGGGGAAACACGGTACTGCTAGGGTTCCTATTACATTTTGTTTGTTTGTTTGTTTTTTAAGAACTGAGCAACTGTTTGCTCCCACTGAAAATATAAGCGACGCTAAGCAAGGTTCCTCAACAGTAAACAATCAGCAACTCCAAAGTCTTTTAAAAAACAGCTGGTAGAAAGTCATGCCTCGGTTTCCCCCAGATGCACGTTTGACTTGGAAATTACACACAGGCTCCGCAGCCCGACGGCAGGCCGTCCCCCTGGCCCCCGCTGCCATCTCACCGCGCCACCGCCTTGTTGGCACAGCCAGTCCCCGTTCCAGGGAAACTGAAAGGGCAACGCCAGCGCCTCCAGTTCCTGAAAGAGCCGGGCTGGCAGGGCCGGGCGCCACGCAGGAGCCGCCCACACACAGCACGCGGGCCCGGCTCCTTCCCCGGGCACTCTATCCGAGGAGGACGTTGGCGCCAGGGCGAACAGCATCAGCTGAGCCCGACCCGCCTGGCCCGGCCGGCTCCTGTCCTGCACCGCCAGCCGCTCCGCCCGGCCTGCCCGAGCCTCCCTCTGGGCAGGTCACACGCTCCTTTCAGACGCGAGCCCGGCCCCACGCCCGGCGCCCTGTTCCCCAGATCCCAACGCCTTCCACTGCGCTGGCTTCGCTCCCCACCCCCAGTCTCTCCCGTCCTGGACAGAACACAGACGGACCTGAGACACCGGGCGCCTGGCAAGGGTTGACACGCCTCCGCTCTGTCCGGCCACTGCCTGGCTCCCACCGCCCACTGCAGGAAGGTCGTCTGCGAGTCACCCTCGAGCTGGGTGCCTGTGCCGAGGACGCCTGCCTCCAGCTCTTCGCCACCTCACTGGGAGGCTGCGGCCGGCGAATAGTGGTCCCCGACAGGGTCCACGCCCCAGCCACCAGAGCTGGTGAAGATGTGGGGTCATTGGGAATTATGGCTGCAGACACAGTTGAAGCCGCTAATCTGCTGGATCTAACATAGAAGGTTATCCCGCCTCCCCGCTACCCCTCCCGGCCTCAGTAACGCCTGGATTATGGGGGGGGGTGCAGTGCAACCGCAGGGGTCCTCGGTCAAGGGAGAGGGGGCAGGAGAGCGTCCGTGACGGGAGAAACCTCTGCTCCGCCAACGCAGGAAGGGCCAAGAGCCACGGGGCGCGGGAGCTGCAAAGGCGAGGACGCGGCCTCGGCCCGGCGTCCGAAAAGAGCCAGCCCTGCGAGGCCCCGACTTTAGCCGGCGAACCCCGCTGCGGACGGCTGGCCTCCAGAACGGTGAGGTTTACACCTGGGGGCCGTCTTGAGCCACCAGATGTGTGGTCACGTTTAGTGACCAGCAGCCGCGGGGAACCCACAGAGAGGCCTGCCCTGCCCCTCCGTCTAAACCGGTGAGGCTCGCGCTGCGTTCACAAAGCGTTGTCGCCACGCCTCTTCCCTTTCCCTTTGCAGTTTAATGACAGATTTGCCTTTTCCCTTGATGGCAGCCTTACGTCAGCAACGACCAGAAAGTACCGCAGCGTCCTGCCGGAGGGCGCAGCTGGGCAGTGAGTGCAGAGGGGGCGGCCGGCACCTCGTCACTGCTGGGGCCGTGGAGACTGGCGTCACCCCCCCCCGCCCCCCGGGGGACAGCCTGGCGGGCTCTCCCTGCATCGCACAGCTCAGACCCTGTGACCGGGCGCCTGCACCCTGGGGTGCAGCCTCTGTGCCCCCCTACGGCCCCACGCGTGTGTGACGCCATCTCAGACAAGCAGGGGCCTAAGGGCAGAAGAGTGGGGACGGCACAGGGTCCCCCAGCGTCTGCTGATTAAATCAGTTGCAATCCGGTGGCCACGAGGTGCAATGCCATAGAGCTGCTAAAAAGCCAGGTGGCGTTTTGCACGCTGGTCCGGAACCATCCCCAAGACACGTTTCCAAGAGAGAAAGGCCAGGCGCTGACGTGGAAGCGACACGCGGTCCTGGTGTCACAGAAAGGACAGGGAGACCGTACGCGTGAATGTCCTTGTCCACACGGGCCGTCTGTGGGACGTCGCAGGAGAATCGGGACACGCGGCTTGTCTCCGAGGAGAGTGGCCGCAGGGCGGGGCGCGTGCAGGGCGCTTTCTGCCACCGCCTGCCCCTCGCTGCTTGGCGGGGAGGACGCGTCTCCCGGCTGAAGATTCCCAAGTCGTTTGCACCGCTGAAACAGCATTTCAGCTGGGCGCTGGGAAACACGTGTGGACAAGGAAGAAGCCACATTCTGCAAGTAAGAACGGCAGCGTTTCTCCCGTATGTTCTGCAGGAGGAGGAGACTTGGGGGCAGGTGGGGGCGTGAGGCGGTCCCCGGAGGGCGGCGTTTCTGCACGGTTTCCTCATGGCCTTGCCATGCTTTGGGGATCTCGCGGTTATCTTGCCCTCGAATACCACTTTAAAATACAGTTTTGCACTGTGTTCCAGAAAATCGCCTTTAGGGCAAAACAAAGCCTACACATGAGAAGGGCCGAGGGGAACAGCTCCCCTGTGGGTGGGACAGCATAGAGGACCCCCCCCCCCAGGAACCGAGGCCCAGCGGGGAACTGCTTGCTCTGCCCTGGGGGAGCCAAAGCCTTCCCTGTGGTGGGCCAAGTGAGTGCCTGAGAGAGAGGTGGGGTCGGCGCAAAGTTTTGTTTTTATGTGTTTTCTGAGGCGAGAGAATGGGCATGTTAGTTTTCTGATGGAAATGTCCCCGCAGAAGAGCAAAGATTGGTGATGCCAGAGAGAGACAGACGGACGGACAGACTAACTGATGGGTTAGTCTGTGGAGAGGGAAGAGAGGGGGTCCTAGAACCCCAATGTCGGCCACTGCTGACCTGGGCATAGCTGGAGACTGTCCTGACTCCTGCCCCGGCTGCCATCCACCGCTACTGTGCGTAGGGACAGGACTGTCCTTCCCAAACAGACACTTGATAGCCCCTCTCTCTCGTCAAACCTTTCTCAGGGGCCGCTGTCGCCTGAAATTGCGTCCCGACTCCGCCTGTTTCGGCTCCTGCCCTGCCCGTCCGTCTGAAATCTCCTGAGCACAGAGCACACCGTTGGCTTTCCCCAGAGCTTAGGAAGGAGATGCTTGAGAATTATTGTCGCAAGATTCTTCGTGTTTTGTGCGACGAATTCTAACAGGCAAAAAGCGGTGACTGGAGAGGTTTATTTTTGGCCAGTTCCCGATTCCAGGGCTCTTCCCCGCCCTGGTCAGGGCCTCCCTGGGAGCCTCTGCAGTCGACGGGAACCCTTCCCTCCTCCCCCCGCCAGCCCACTCCCGTCTCGGTGCTGCTCGGACCACGCCGCCTTTCACTCCTAAATCCCCTGCCCGCGGAGCAGCCGCGCCTGCAGAGCAGGGGTCACCTCGCACCTCTGCGCCCTCAGCAAAGCCACAGCGGCAGACAGTGCCCCCCCACCTGAATGAAGGGCAGGGTGACAGGATGGGCAGATGCAAGAATCAGCCGGGATGGCAGATAAAGTCTCATCCCCGTTGCTTTCCACAGTGCAGGGGTTTACGGGGTGCTCAAGTGCCACCCAGAGTGGGTAAAGGGAACAGCAGCCACGCTCATCGCAGCCCGGCATTTGCTCGCACACACAGTTTGCACCGGCAGCGGCGCTCCGCGGCTCCCGCGGGAAGTCTGGCCCGGAGGAGGCTCCAGTGCAATTCATTGCACCGATAACAAAATAGTTAAGTATGTCTCTGCCTCAAACACTTTGATGACATGTTTAGCAATAGGAGAGCCACGGGAGGGCTTTTGACTTCCTGATCTTTGGCGTGTAAATTAATTTAACAGTATTTGTGTCCCTCGCCATAAGGGATGACTTGGGAGAGACTCAGGTCCTGAAAACAAATTATTTTCTTTCTAGTATAAAAGCGTGAGTCTGCAATTCCATGCAAAATGAACCAAGTCTGCTTTCATGCCGGGGAGCAGGTGTGAGGGCAGCCCGGGCCGGGGCCGGCGGGTGGGGGGGAGAGCAGCTCTGTCTCGGGGAGCCCATGCGCGCCCCACTCGGGCCCCCGGCCCACCTGTGGGAGTCAGGCGGGGAACACCTCTCCTCACCTGTCGCCTGTCTGTGCGGCGTGGGAATGGCGGGATAGCTCGGAACCCGTGAAGCAGCCACTTTACTGAGTCACTGAGTGACTGGCACCTGCCACGTGCCAGGTCTCCAGGTACAGTCGGAGCGGCTGTGCACTGCGCGACCCGGAATTCTGAGCGCAGCGCATCATTTCTCCATCTCCGACAGCTGGCGGTGTAAAACCTGGCCGCCTCCGTGACGCCCCACTTTGCGGTCAGCTGCGGGGGGGAGCCCCAGCACCTCCTCCCTGGGGCTCGCGCTTAGATGCCCTTCGTGGGTGTTTCCCCGTCAGCGTTTCTGGGGGTGGTGTCGATGCCTGGATGCCCAGGACGACGCTGCCGAGGGAAAGTCGGGAAGCCCGTCCGTCACCTCTTCACAGGCTGAGCCCGCCAGCCCGGTCCTGGGGCCGCCGAGAGGCCGGGGCGCGCCGGCTTCAGGGGGCCGACTGCTCACCTTGAAAGCGTCTGGGCAGCCGCCGGGGGAGCGGACGAGCAGACCACCGCCCCAAACCTCCCGCCCGCCACGGCGGTCTCGCTTCCTCCCGGGACTTGCCCCGGGTTCTTACCAGCTTTCCCATCGTAGGGCCGGGGGCGGCTGGCCCCAAGGCGGCTCCTAAGAGCAGTGGCGTCGCCCTTCCCCACACTCGAATTCTTTCTGGCTGCATGAGGTGTGAGTAGAATGATGCAGTTTTCAAAGACACGGGCAGGTGCTAGCTCTTTGCACCCTTGCCACATGGGCGCAAAGTCTGAGGACAGGCGCAGACTTTGAGGTTTGCAGGTGGACGTTTACACACCTGCGAGTTCTCCTGTCTGCTGAGTGATCTTGGGCAAATTACTTCACCTCACGGGATCTCAATTCGATGATACTAGGAAATACACGGATGACAGCACTGACACACGACTAAATGATCACTGAGTGACCGGCGCCCACTATATGCCGGATCTCCAGGTACAGCTGGAGGGGCCGTGCACTGTGCAACCCGCACATCTCTAAAGGAGACGCCTAAATAAAGAGCAGGTGTATTTTGTCCCCTAGGCTTTTGGCAAGGAATTAGAAAGCACCATGATATTTTGGTGGTTTTTTTTTTTAATTACACAAAGTGTTTTATTTAAAATTTATCAAGTCTTACTTTCTGAAAAGGTAAACATTTAAAAATAAAAAGTAAAACCTGTGAGCACACGCCTACTTAGCCCTCCCCGTTCGGGAGGGGCTGAGGCGCAGAAGGAAGAGGGAGATGCCCTGGACGGGCTGCCGGTTGCTCGGCTGCTGCGGAGGTGCGGGGGGAGGGGCGTGGAGTGTTTGTGGTTCCCATGGGAACGGCCGGCCGGCGCTGTGCAGGAGGGAGGCGGCAGCCATGGCCAAGCACCGGGATCCCGAGTGTAAGTGGACGGGCCGTCTCGTGGGCTTCCCAGCCCCCCTGAACCAGCCTGAGAGTGAGGCGGGTTTCTGGTGGCTGCACATCAGCCGCCCGTCCCCGGGGTTGGGACTGGATTTGCGCTTCCTGCTCAGGGAACCTAACGACAGCTCACAGAGTGGCACGGCAGGGCGTGCGTGTGCACAGCGAGTAGGGCGTGGTGTGTGTGTGTGTACGTGGGTGAGAGCGCTCTCTGGGAGGAAGAGGAGGAGGAAGAGGAGGAGGAGGAGGAGGAGGAGTGAAGGGGCAGGTTTCTGGCTCCCAGCTCAGAGAGTTCTTTTTAAAAAGCTGAACTTCAGGAAATGTCCTGTGGCTGCCACCACTCCAAGACGCTCGCCCAGGACCACACAGCATGGGGTGTCCACACCCATCGCTACAGGGTTCTCCAAGGCCTCTCGCTTTGTGTCGCCGCTGGGCCCCAAGGACTGGGCTGTCCACGTGGTTTTTCCGGGCGGGGCTCTGTGGGGACGCGAGCCCAGGCCACCTGACAGCTCAGCTGTGGCTCTGTCCGGCGCACGCTGGGCGTGGGGACCCGCGCAGGTGAACTCGGGGTGGGCAGGAAGTTCCTTGCCCTGAGCTAAACAGTCTGAATAATAAAATACTTAGAAAGAAATGTTATTTTCCCGTGTCAAAGTGCGCTTAGCACTGTTTCCGTGCAGGTGAGCGCGCAGCCAGGGAGCCGGGGCCGGAGGCGGCTCAGCACCTGACTGCACGCTATATAGTCTGAGACCAGTCGTGCCTCAGTTTCCTCACCTGTCAAGTGAGGATAGTCACAGCGCCCACCTCCCGGGCAATAGTGAGGATGAAACGAGCCCCGCACACTAGCTGGGCAGCAGACGGCGGCGATAATTTTTAAAAGTCTCCCAGCTGCAGGATGGTATCGTTTCCTTTGATAGAACACAGATGCTTCTCGACGCGCAACAAACCCATCAGCAGGTGCAGATATCACTAGTCACCCTGCGCCGAACACACCTGGCCCAGCTCCGCCCAGCCTGCCTGCAGGCTCGGGACCCTCCCAGCAGCCCGCAGCCGGGAAGGCCGCGGCACGCACGGCCTGCGTTCTGGGGAAGTGTCGGGCGTCCCAGGCAACTCACTCCACGCCGCGCTGACGGGGGACCAGAGGGTCGTGCGGGGCCGGACGTGCGGCTCTGCTGAGCGCCCACCGCCCGGCACCCCTGCACAAGTGAGGACCCTCGGCAGGTCCCAAGCCACGGGGTCAACGCGGCGTCCGTTTGGCCCGTGTCAGGGCGGTGGTGTGGCCGGTGGTCTCTCTCCCTGCTCAAGCCTCCCCTCGCCCCCCCCCACTCTTAGGGGAAGCAGAGACAGTGATGTCACTATTTTTAGGCATGGATTGGGCACAGAAACGGGTTTGCATGTGGCGTGGGGGCCAGAAGGGGCTCCTCCGCCTGCCTGTGCCCGGGGCTGTGGGGGGAGGGGGGCAGCAGTCCCAGGGTCGGGGCAGGAAGGCTCATTCGGAAGCTGGTCCTGCCACTCGTCCGCCGCCTGCACCTGACTGGGCCGCATCACGCCTCTCGGCTTCCCCGTCTGCCACCGGGGCTGGGGCTAGTTGCAGGCGGGCTGGCCGCTGGCCACGGGGAGTCCTGGGTGAGACGTGCGGGACACAGGGAACCCTGCGTGTTCCGTGGGCCTGGCGGCCACTCTGCAGCCACTGCTCGGCCAGGCTGGGGCGACAGGCCTCGGCCGCGTGAGCGGGGGAGGCTGCCTGCTTTCCCTCCAGCTCTCTGCGAAGACAGGGCCACGGCTGGCCAGGGGCGGCCAGCCCAGCGCCACCTCGGTCCTCGTGGTGGAAGACGGCACACGAGGGGGCGCATCTGGGTGGCCTCGTGTCCTCGCACAAATATTTAGCAAGGCGGCCTCGGTCCTGTAGGCCTTTAATCGCTTCGGTACGAGCGTCCACTGTCGCCGACAGCCGCAGACAGACCCCCACAGCGACTTTAGCCGACAGCCGTGATATGACTTTTCTAATTTTTCATCTATCAAAATAAATTGTGAACATTCAAATTGTGAACATTCAAAAATAACGTAATGAAAACATGTCTGTCTGTGTTACCTATTCTGATTTACGTGACGAGGAAAGCTGCCTGTAAAGTAGAACAAGCTCCCAGCGCTTTCCAGCTGTCCTCGTCACACAAGAGCGAAACGGCCGCGTCGTCAACGCACAGCGCAGACCGCCGCGCGGACTGTGCGTGCGGCTGTGGGCGAGGTGTCACGGCCGGTGAGCGCCGCACCGAAGTGGTTAATGCAAAAGGGCACAGTTTAGGGAGGCCACTCCATGCCATGTGCCTCTTTGCCGACAGCGATTCCCTTTGGGTTCCAATCAACCATCTGGAGACGATTATCCTGATTTTGCAGGCGGAGCAGCTAAGGTTTGGGGAGAGGTTACGTAGTGTTTCTGCTGCCACGCAGTGTGGAAGTTGACTCAGAAGGCCACATAGCCCTGGTACTTATGTCCCCGGCCATGTGTGGACCAGAGCCACCCCCGGGACTTGGGAGCGGCCTGGACCTCGCGTGTGGAGGGGCTCAGGGTCCCCTCAACGCAGCCTCTCTGTGGGGAGGGACGGGAAGGGCGAGCGGCCCGCCAGCTGTCCCGGGCTTTGCTCGGGGACTCCCGAGGCCTGTCCGTGTCAAGGGAGGGAAGGAACAACACGCAGGTGCAGCGAGTTAGGGAGGACGTCGTTAAGCGTCGTCACGTAGAATTACACTGAAACTCATAGACTTTTCTTCCAGGAGCTTTGCTAACATTGCAAGAAACATTCCGTCTCTCTAGAAGGCTCCGGCGTCTCCCGCGTTGGCGCGGGGGTCCGGGGCGGGGCGACCGGGTGGCACACGCTCTGCACCTGTGCGCCCCTCACCCGCAGCAGAGCCTCAGCCCGGCACCGCTGTGACTTCTGATGGGCCGGGCCAGGTGCTGTTTCCCTTTATCTTTATGACCCCTCCTTGGGCCTGGCGTACGCCAGCCCAGCGAATGGACCCGGCTGGCTCGCCGTGGGGCCCAGAGCAGGGTCTCACAGTCGCGCCGTCTCTTCTGCGCAGTTTACCTGCACTGGCGGCACTGTGAGACGCCCGGGGTGAACACTCTGTGCAACCTGCGGAAGCTGCTGAACAGGCTGCAGAGGGACCACAAGGAGGATGTCTATCTCTACACCTCCGGGCACCTGAACCCCAACAAGCTGTACAGGCCGCCCGAGACGATCCTGCAGCACTGGCGCAATGCCCAGCGGCCGCGGCAGGCCCCCGTCCCCGCGGCGGCGGGAATGCCCCCGCCCGAGAGCAAGGTCGCAGAGATGAAGGAGGCTCTGGTCCACTTCACCCTCAACACAGCTCTGGTCCCCAACGATGCCCAGAGCACGCGGCTCTTCAGGTACTTGCACCCCCAGGCGGCAGCCCCCTGCGCCTCGGAGGAGGATCTGGCTCCCAGGACGGCTCCGGCTGGGAAGGAGGAGACCGAGGGAGTGGGGGACGGCTCCCCCGGCCCGCCGCAGCGGCGCAGGGAGGAGCTCACCGTGCCGGACCTGAAGGTGCTGCGGTACAAGGCGGTGGGCTCCAGCCGCCAGTGTGCCCTGTCGCCCCCGGGCAAGGACCAGTACCGCCACGTCAGCTCCTACCTGGCCGGGATAACGAAGGCGGACAGGTATAAGAAGTTCCTGGATTTCCAGAAAGACGTCCTTGGGAAGCAGGACCTCCTGAAGCACGACTTCACCGGGAGCGCGGCGGCCGTGTGCCACGAGAGGAAGCTGCGGCAGGTGAGGAGGGCGGGGCCTCAGCACCGTCCAAAAGAAAGCCGCCAGGTGCTAGACATTTGGCAAGGTCAGTGGGTGGCACAGGGTGAAATGCAAAACGGGCTGCGCGGGGAGAGTAATTTGGAGGCAAGTTAGGCAGCAAAGGCTCCATAGCAGAGACAGGGAACGAAACCCTTGCAGGAGAAACAGGAGGGGCTGAGGAAGGGTTTCCTGCCTGACCCTGAAAGCACAGGAGCGTGGAGACAGCGCTGAGCTCTGCGGTGCAGGGGAAGCCTGCCCGGGGACCAGGGGTAGCCGGAGCCGGGGGCTGGTGTGACGGGAAGGGCTGCCGGGCCGTGGACGTTACCTCAGACAGGGCAGAATGCAGGGAAGAAAATAAAATAGCTCTCTCCCCACCCCGTGAGATGACCAGACCTGGAGATTTGGGGCTGAGGAGATTGATGGAAGGGAGAGAGGGGCTTGGGGGTGTGAGGGGGCAGGGTGAACCCCTGAGTACAGGATGGAGGGAGTGAATAAAGGATGAAAAGACAGAAAAGTCAAACCTTGCGTGACCAGGTAATGAAAGACTGAGCAACTAGCAGGGGTGGATCAGAGTCACCTTGGTCTGCCACCTGCTCTGCTGGGACGGGGTGCCTGGGTGGTGGCAGCTCTGTCCTTCCCGGGTCCTTCCCCCGAGCAAGGTGGTTCTGAAAGGAGAAGGGAGTCATCCTGAAATGGGCTGGCCCTGTGTTCTCCTCCAGGAACTCCAGAGGGTGTGCACCTGTGACCCTCAAGGGCTGAACAGACTGCAGATCTTCAGCGACATCTTTGAAGATGTCTGCAACAGTTCTTTGATATTTGGGGACATCTTGAAAGAAATCAAGGTAAGAAACATACCATCACACTTGAGAACTAGGCAGGACGCCCTGCATACAGGGTTGGTCTCAAGCCTCCCCGACACTCTGCTGAGTGTCACGGTCCGTCCCCTTTCTGCAGACAAGGAGAAATTGAAGTCATCTGTCTGCAGTCACGTAAATCATAAAAGGGAATATGGAATAGACACCCAGTTAGCTCTCTCCGAAGCCCCATAGTTTCCCACTAAAGCTTCCCAATTATATGTTATAACCTGCTAGAAATTGAACATATATGACACATAAACTTTTGTGATTATATTTATGTAGTGTTACACGAATCCTTGTAGAATTATAGGTTTGTTGTAATTTCGTGCTGGAGGTAACCTTCCTGTGGAATCTGAGTTGAAATTAGGTTGCGTAAAGATCATGTTGTTCTCCAATTTCCCTAAATGACAAGGGACATTTAACCATGGAGATCAGGTGGGCTGCTGCCCGGAGATGCCCTCGCCATTGGGAAGCTCAGCTCTGGCAGGTCAGCAGGGCCCAAATCCACGGAGTTTTGCACGGCAGCAGATGATTTGCTGTCTGTGTGTCAAGGTACTTCATGATGGTATTCAGAGGTGACCAGTAGTTACTGCTCAAACATGCTTCAAAGATGGTGTGATCTTTATAAATGTTAGTGTGTACACTGTTTAGTATACCATAAGAAGGTTTCTGAAAAATCTAAACTGCACCATTCTTAGCTTTCATATTATTTACATACACAGAAACACTTGCAGTGCAATCTCCTGACGCATTTCCAATGGATTTTTGCCTTTTGTGTTTTATGCAGGATGAGTACGAGCTCTACGTGGCAATCCTGCTGGACTCCCAGCCCACAGCACAGTATAAGGTAGTCGTCGCTCACCAAGAGCTTAGAGAAAGTCTTTTTTTTTTTTTTTACCCATGGCTTCGTATTTATTTCATGAGGAGAGGGAAACATTCAGAATCCACGAAGCCTTATTTGTGCATTTGTAATTTAGAATAGTCACTACTTTCTATAAGGAATGGGCTTTGCACTAGGGTAAGGATATTAGTGATCAGTCTACATTCCCAAACCACTAATGTAACTATATCTATATCTATAAAATGTAACTCTATATATACTATATACAGTATATAATATACAGTATATAATATACAGTATATACAGTAACTCTATATATACTATATACAGTTACAAACTATATATGGGTGTATATATATATAACCATAACTATATATATATGTGTATATATATATAATTTAAGAACATAAATAGTGCTATGTCAGTAATTACCAAAAACCACTGTCCCGTTGTCACCTGGGGGAGGCACTGGTGACATGGTGACAGCTAGCCTGCAGCAAGCTGCAGCATGAACCCATAGTCTCTTCATTTCACTGGGGACAACTTTCCAGGTGTTCCCTGCAGGGTTGTGTTAAACACGCACTTGTTCTGGTAATAAAATATGTTAAGACGGGAATAACGTTATATCGCTTACAAAAACCAGGAGAATCTAACACAGTAACGAAGATGAATTTGGCATTTTAAATTCAATCAAGTTTAACAGTTTTATAATATCTTGCAAAGTAGACATAGTTTCTTACTTGGTATATGAAAAAAAAAAATAAAAATAAATAACAGCATTGCTGGGAGGTGAGCCGTAACTCACTTCCTAATCCAGAATCACACGTGGGCACCGTCTTCTCAGTTCTGAGCCCTCTCGTGGTGCAGCAGGACAAGCTTTTGTGTTCACAGGAATCACCAGCGGCCCCGGGGGAGGGGGGCTACCCTGCTCCTGCCCCTCACTCTTTGAGGCTGAGTGCAACAGGAGCACATACACCCGAGTCTCACTCAAACACCCGGCCCTTCCTTCTGTTTCTGAGTGCCAGGCAGCCCCTCCCCTGGGGACAGGGGTCTTTGTGTCCCTGCCTTCCGGCACAGCTCTCCTTCACAGCCGTGGATGCTAGCTGTACTAATGTCGCTCCTCACTAACTAGAAGAAATAATTGTGGTGCTTCTAATAATGTCCCCGAAGCACTTTACTCAGCAGGTCTTTCCCCTCACACAAGCCAACAGTAGAACTCTCCCACAATTTTTTTTTTTTTAATTTCTTGGAAGAACAAAATCTTAAAATACTGAAAAACGTATTTTACCCAGAACATCCCTTGATTCGCCATTCCTCCCCCAATGCCCTTCCCTCCCTGGGGTCCTCCCGATTTCCCTAGTTTAACTAGAGTTTATGTCTCAGCCCAGGGCGGGTGGAACATATGTTAGTAACGAAGGGGAAAGTTCTCACCCACCCCCTGAGCGACTGTCCCCCCTTCGTGTGCCTGGCCCCGTCTAGACGCTTCTGGCTCAGGCCCAGGGGCTGGAGAAGCGGCCCGTGAAGAAGGCGGACGTGCAACGAGCCCGGGAGGAGCTGCGGGTGCTGGTGACGGCCGTCAAAGCTGCCCTGGAGCGGAATGACAAGTGAGCCCGGGCGAGCCGACTGGCTCTATGTTTGGGTTGTACCTAGCGCGTCTCAAAGCCATGTCACGAGCGTAGAGTTCTTCTGCGCTGCTGGGTGTGGCGTGCCACCGTTCCCAGGACCGTGCCTGGCATGTGGCCGCGTCTGCAGACCCCCACCTACGTGGCCACAGACCCCCACTAAACGTGGTGTTCCTGTGGGTGGAGTGTGGGGAGGTTTCTGGAGGAAACTCATTTCTTTTTGGTGGTCCCCTGAAGACTTTCTGAGAGGTGAGAGGGCTGCAGATTCAAGGACGCCTCCTATGAAGACCCTTATTATTATTATTTTCATGTGCAAACTTACTGCAGCCTCTCTGGTTTCCCAAGGTCAAGTCACAGTGGAACAGGATATAGTGCCTGTAACAGTTTTGCAAAAAAAAAATCAAGCCCAAATCTGTTAGACATAGACATGCCAGGATAAATAAGAAAAAATAAATAAATAAAGACAATCTGAAACATCCAAAATATCCTCAAGCAAACAAAACAAGAAACAAAACCGAAAAACAAAATCTGCCTTTGGGGTAACTAGAGGACAGGAGGCCCTGCTGTGGTTTGCTCCGAGTGGCCCATGGGTCTCTCCCACAGAGGGTCTCTCCGGCTCTGCTCTGACCGGCCACCTGGCGGTGGACGTTTGCAGGTGGCCTTTCGTGGGGTGCTTTGTCATCCTGGCCTGCGGGCTTAATGCCAGGCGTCCAATCTGTGACGCGGTGTCCCTCTTATAAGGGACTCGGCTGGACTAGTAGATGCCCTGTAGCCCTCCTCGGACCTGTGTCTGGTTTATTCCAACCTGGATAGCCACTCTCGAGCAGAGCCCTGCCTGGGGCAGGTCAGGTTCAAGTGCCGTGTTCCAGCAAGGCACAGAACATGGAGTAACAGGAGGTGGAGAGAAGAGGGTGGCTCACCTTGCAGGGTCAACAGGAAGAGGGGACTGTCCAGGGCACACTCACTGACCCAGCGGGGAGGGAGAGAGAGACCCTGCGGGCCAAGCGTTTACCTGGATCCAGAGCTTCACGTGGGGCGGTTCCCGCAGGGAGCTCTAACGGGTGGGTTCAGGACAAGCAGGCACGAACTCACTGGGGTCGCCTGTGACTGAGGGGTGGCTGTGGCTCACCCACATGGCCCATGTGGGCTGTGGGGCCAGTGGGGCGAGTCGAGTGTGCTGTGACCAGCCGTCCCATGGGGGTGATCCCCGGGAAGTGGTCACGGAAGGCAGGTGTGCCGAGGCAGCGTAAGGTCATAGGGTTCGTTAGAGAAGCATCCAGAGTTGAAAATAACTGAAAATAGACGAGCGAACATCAAGCGCCACGAACCATTTTCCACGTTCCTGCTGCAAACCCGTGTGAGAGCAAGAGAGGTCTGCGGGAAGTTTGCAGGAGAGAGAGCAGCAGGGCTGGGGCTGCCCTCGACCCGCAGCCGGGAGAGCCCCCCGAGAGGAGGAGACAGGCTGCCACCTGGGCTGGCAGACCGGTCGGAGCGCTGACTGCAGAGGGAACATCTCAGGGAGAGCGGGAGGGAGGAGGATGCGGCTCTGGGAATCGCCATGGCGTGGTGGGAAGAGGGCAACGGAAGCGAGACGAAAGTGAGCCACATCCTTTGGAATGTTCGAGAAGACAAAAGGGAGCAGGAAAGGAACATTTAGAAACCTATAAAAGAAGAAAGTCAAAGCGCACACAACCCTTCCCCATCCAGCCTTTTCTTCCCTCCAAACGAGCTGTCCAGTTATAGCAAAACAAATTAGACAACCATGAACAACACAGTGTATCGACAATCAAAAAGCACAACTTGCTACACTGACAGAGAAGAGTCGTCTTAAATAGGAATCTCACGACACCACCCCAAACCACTAGTCCTGCCTGCAAAACGGCACGGGTGTAGACAAACTATGGTCTGTACAAACTACCACAGGAAAGAAACGGAGAATGAGAACCCAAACCGTTTAGCTGACGAAGATCCTACCATGCCAGATACAAACAGAAAGTTGAAGAAGAAGGAAACTGTGGCACGACTCTCTAAATTACATGTTCTCGAGAAAGCGTTTCGGGATGCGAACACAACTTTGAGCCGGAAATTTTAAACCCAAGTACAGAAATCAACGACAAAAAAGGAAGAGACAAGATTTGACACAGGAGGAGAGAAATATTTGAAAAAGTCGAAGTCATATCACAGGTCAAGACTAAATTATGACATGTCTAAGGAAGAACAGTTTTTAATGAGGGGGCTGTCAGAGAAAAGGAAGAAAACACCTAAAAAATGAAAATGAGATAAAGAGTCAGAACAAGTTGTTGAGTTAGAAGAGAGCAGAAGAAGCTCCAATTCACATACAATTCAAGTCCCTGAAGAAGAAAAACAAAGCAGTAGAACAAAACCACAAGGGACACGTAAAACTATATAACACACAGAAAATTTCTGGAAACGAAACCTTCTGAATATACACATTGAAAAGGCTGTTATCATTTATTAATCGATTGAACTTCTAGTTTCTAAAAATTGAGGGCCATAACACCACTCCTGTTCTGTTTTCATCTGTGGTAAAATGAGCTAAAATAATATGTATAAATCTCAAACTATTAGGTCCTCTGTAGACACGTGGCATTAAGTTGTTTGTGGTGCTGATTTTTTTTTTTAGCAAAAGCACAGTGATTTCTTCAGTGTATGTACATATATAAAATACCTACCACACTCCTTGTTTTTCTCCTCTTTAAGTCTATTAGGAATCAGGTTGTTGGTTTAGTTTGCTTTGAACCAAGAAGAGGATACTGAGGGTTTTTTTTTTTCCTTCTTTTTAAATTTCTTGTAATTTCTTTTTGTTTCAAACATATTGGCATTTGTAAATTGTGTATGTGGGATGGAGTCATACCATGCAGGGAAATAGGCAAAGTGCATTCCAAAATCGGACCTTTCCGTACCCCTCAGTGTGGTGTTTGCCTTTGCGTGTACAATGCTCTGGTTTTTGTTTTTTTTAACCCCTCCTTTTCTTTTCTTTTCTTTTCTTTTCTTTCTTCTTTCTTTTCTTTTCTTTTCTTTTCTTTTCTTTTTCCTTTCTTTTCTTTCTTTTCTTTCTTTTCTCTCTTTTCTTCTCTCTGCTTCTTTTCTCTTTTCTTTTCTTTTCTCTCTTTTCTTTTCCTTTCCTTTCCTTTCCTTTTTTTTCCTTTCTTTTCTTTTCCTTTCTTTTCTCTTTCTTTTCTTTTGTTCTTTCTTTTCTCTATCTTCTTCTTTTCTCTCTCTCTTCTCTCTCTCTCTTCCCTCTCTCTCTCTTTCCTTTCCTTTTTTCTTTCTTTCTTTTTTCTTCTTAGCAGTTGAAATCACAAAATAATATCAATAAACACTAAAGGAAATAATTTATTTTAAATTACCCAACTCCTCTAACGAATGGTTTATGCAAACCTTGGTAAGAAAGTATTGTTTTGTCTAGCTTGACTGACCAGGGCTGTCATTTTATGAGCATCTTCAGATTACATTTTTGCGTTAGCAAGTAAGAAGATCAGGCTTCAGTGTCTCAACTAAAAGAAAGACTGTGCTGTAAAATAGACAAAAGAAAAAAGCTACAAGCAGGGTTCTGATACTTCACTATCTTTCTGTGATCGAATTGCAGACTCAGGGATGAGCTGGAGGCGGAGGAAGCTCCCCTGCTGCAGGCTTGTGAGGAGAAGCGCAGGAAGTGAGGTGCGGGACTGTTTCGCCGACGCGTGTTGTACTTGGCCTTGTGGTGAACATCTTCAAAATGGCCTCTGGCATTGAGGTTTGAATGGGTTTTGCAGAGAGGTTATTAAATTTTATTCGTTAATTTTTTTTTTTCTCCATCAACTTCTCACCTTCTTTAGAAATAATATATTTTCAATTATGCAAAATGATTTAACAAATGCTTTAAGAGAACACAAGGAACAAGTTGATCTCGTCAGAGTCTTAAGCATCCAATCCCAGTTTCTGTTGTTTTGGGTACTTGTGGGTGTTTCGTTTCTCCGTATTCAGATAATGGCGCGCGCACCGTTTCATCATTCTCTTAAGATCTTTGTGTTCTTTAGTGGAACACTGAATTAATTCAGGGCCTTCTGTAGGGAGAATTGTGTGAAGTTTCAACAAAGGCATTTGGAAGAGATCCTGAGAAAACTGACCCGACGATACAAAGATGGGAAATGGATCTCACGAGGAAACACCGAAGGACTAAACGCTTATCCTAGAGAAAATGTCTCGCAGTGGACCTCATGGGGAGGGGGGTGAACCTTTGCTCAGCAGGTGCAGGTGGGACCAAGCAGAGAACGTGGAGCCGTGGCCTCTGTGGTTCCCGTGGCCTCCACGGAGTCCAGGGCATGGCGAGGAGGACAGAGCCCATTCTGGTTTTCAGAACCTTTACGTTTGTACTCCCGCCTTAAAGAAGCAAGCGTTTGCGGACGTCAAGGAGTCCCTAGGGCTGTCCGCATTCGAGATGCTCTTTGGCATGCGGACACGCTCTCCACCAATGCCCGCTGCATTCTCCGCCGTGGCGCGTGGCGTGGGGGGCGGGGTGCTGCCGGGGCTGCACGTGGTCCTCCCCGCAGCGATGGGCTGGGGGCGCGGCTGGGGGTCTCTGAGGCCGGCTAGACGCCCTCGCTGCCACTGCGCTCTGGGCACAGAGCCCTGCACGTGGCGTAGTCACTCTGCCTGCTTGTTCTTCCTCCTCTCGTTATTGCCCGTGAGGAAGAATGCACATTTCATGGGAAATCAACTGCATTTTAGGAATATTTATGCATTCGATGGATATTAAAATGATTTTAAATTTACATAATTTAGGATGGGATTTATCAATCAAAATAACTACAACTGAGTATCTTGTGCACTCGTCTTGGCCGTTTCCCAACTGTTCAGTCAAATGCCACTTTCCCTCCAACTTTGGTAAATACCTGCTTTTACTGGAATTGCAGCTTTTCCTCAGCATCATTTAGGATATACTCATAATAACCCACTTTAAGTTCTCAGTGGACTTGACCTGGGAGGTTCTTGCCAGAGTTATTTTCCCCTTCCTGCCTGTTTCCTCTTTCCTCCCTGTGAGCCGCCGTGCTGCTTTCCTGCCCAGCATCTCGGCCGGGCGTCTTGCTGCCAGTTCTCCGTCCCAGGCCGACTCTCTGCTTCCCCCTTCATCCCTTCCCGGGGCTCAAAGGGGGGGCTGGTCCCCTCCTTCCTGCACCACGGTGCTCATCTGTTGCGGGGTACCTGTCACAACCGCGTAGACACGGTTTTCAGTTTCCTGGCTGTCCCTTAAAACAAGCCTATGATTAATAAAAAAATACTTGCACGATTTATTGCTGGACACTAATAGGAAAAAAAATGGGCAAGATTAGATTAACAAAAAGAATAAACAAGATGCAGTCACCAGCGTTCTGAATTCAAGCCGACCTTTGTTCCTATTCGCGCCCAGCTGCCGGCTCCGGCTCTCGTGCGGTGGGGGACACTCCTGTCCCGCCGCTTAATCCCTCCCCAAACCCCCCCCCCGAACCCCCCCCCCCAACCAACCCCCCCCCGGGCAACCCGCCCCGGCCCAACCCCCCGCCCTCCCCCCGCGGGCAGCTGGCCAGGTGGACGCCGCTCACCTGGCCGGACGCCCTTTTGGCTTCTGCGCCCCGAGCTGACTCCTTCAGAGGCCGACGGCCTCCGCTCAGGCCAGGGTGGGATGGAAGAGTGTGTTTTGCAGCGCTTCTCAGAGTCGCGTGGACGCTCCACGGGGACCGTGTTTGCCCCTCCGCGAGCGGCCGTGTGTCTGCTTAGCTGATGCCCCACGTTTCAAAACGCGCCTGCAAAGGTTCCCCTTCTTCCAAATTTGGCGAAGTTGAATGTCGGCGATGATTTCCATCTTGTTTGCTGTCTGTAAGTGAGTGTTATTGATCTTTCAAGTTGCTTTTTCTCCATCAAAAAACGTGGTTGTTCTGTCTAAAAAAATTAAGCCTCGCCTCTCTGGTCAGTATCTAACTGTGCTGATCAATCAAAAATAGCCCTTAGTGGTGAGTCTCTTGATGTTCCCCTCTCCTTTCTGTGCTCCTGAAATGTGGATGCTCTTGGGAGTCCAGCGTGTCTTTGGCATGGCTCACATTTTTTTTATTCTAAATCTGTTTTTCCTGCTAAAAATTCTTTTTTGGGCTTAACGGCGGTATGTCCGGGTGCCTACTGGGCTTGGCATCTTGAGTGTCCCATAAGCACCTGGACTCACGTGTCCAAGATTAAACTCACCCTCTCTCTCCCACCTGGCATTGCCCTGGCTGTGTCCATGGACCGCATGGCCAAGCACACAGACACAAAGTCAGAAAGCAGGTGCCAGGCACCTTCTGCGCTCCTGTCCCGCGGCCACTCCCAACACAGCCGGAATCAGAGGCCAAGCGAGGATTCGAACCGAGCCCCTTCCCTCTGCTCTGCACCGACCTCCCCAGTTCCCTCCCAGCTACAGCTGGAATAAATCCTAGAGCCCGCTGTTGGCATCTTCCTCTCCTCTATGTTCCAGATCCAGTCGGTTACCAAAGACTCTTTTGTTTGTTTGTTTCATTTCCTCAATCGTTTTTGGATCTCTCTTTACACCAGGGGCACCGCCCTGATCGGATCGCCTTGTCTGAATGACAACTTTCCAAGTAGTCTTTCTGATTCTAGTCCTACCTCCTCTGATCCACTTTCCATGCCGTGGACGGCGCCAGCATGGTCTGATCGCGTGTCCGCCCGGGGGGAAGCCCTCCAGCAGCTCTGACTGGTTTCTCTGCACGTGCACGAGGCCAGATGGACCCGCCGGGTTCCTTGCTGACGTCACTGCGTATGTCTCGATTCTGTCCTCCGCTCCCTCCCCACTGCCTTCCGGTTGTCTGACTTCCATTCCTCCTTCCGGTCTCGGTGTAGTCACCTCCTCCGCTGGCAAAGTCCTGCTGCTCGAGCCTTCCCCACGCCGAGTAAGACGCTCTCTCCTCCACTCCCGCACTGTCGCCTCCACCGAGCCTTCCCACCTAGCCCTGCGTCTGCACAAATTACCACGTCTCCCCGAAAATAAGACAGGGTCTTATATTTATTTTTCCTCAAGAAGACACCCTAGGGCTTCTTTTCAGGGGATGTGTTATTTATTTATTTATTTTTTGTAAGTACGGTACAGTAGTCTACATTTATTCAAATATAGTTAAGTCACCTTCTTCTGGAACATCATCATCACTCTCCAAACCCCGAATTCCATCCTGAATGTCTTGCGACTCTATTTCCTTCAGAACCATCGGCCCCCATCTCTCGTGTGGAGCACTAGAGCTCTCACGGGGCAGATGAGAAGGGCTGCTCGTCGTCTTTCCCGCTCCGCGACGAAATATATGGGCTGTGCAGATGCGCTGCGTGGCCACGCCCGTCCCTAGGTCTTATTTTCGGGGTAGGGCTTCTATTGTGCAAATGCTTAGAAATCCTGCTAGGGCTTATTTTACGGGTAGGTCTTATTTTCGGGGGAACACGGTATGTGTTCAACAAACACTTATCGATTGATTGTGTGAATGAATTAAAGGATGAATACCCCCATTCTTGGATCCGATTAGTTTTATCGGCATGCTTGGAGTTTGAGTTACATTATCATTTATAGTTACATATAGTATAAGATATTATTACTACATGATATTGTTAATAATATACAATGCTATTAATAGGAGATATTAAGCATAGTAATATTGTGCTTTAAAAAATATTCCCAGAATCATCTAAGCAAAATGTAACTGACGGGGTGCACCTTACTCTTATTGAGAAGGTTGAAAAGAAGAGGCGTGAAATACTTAGTAAGTGGGAAGAAATGCAAGCTCTTGAAAAAGAAATTAAAACGACTTTGGTTCATACGGGAGTTTCATGTATCGCTGAGAATATGATTAAAAGCTTAGAGGTATGTAATTTATTTATTTAATCATTTACATTGTTCTTTTGCTTAAGATTTTGGCAAACACATGAAACAATTTGATTTTGTAGTATGGTAAGAGATACCTTAAAACTTGGTCCAAATATATTTTTATTTCAAACTGTAGCAAATAATTATAAAAATTAGAAGATCTATCTAAAATAAAAATGAAGGTGACAAAAAATTCTTTAGAACTCTGTTAATGGTCAAAACCTAATTTTTGTGTAGAACCTTACTTAATCTGACTTAAACTCTAGTTATAGAATTTATAAAGTGATATATGATTATTCTTTATTCTTGGGTTTATATAGTTACATATATTTTTCAGCAGTGCTTATTTAAACCAGAATTATAATGTACATAGAAGTGTAGTCGTGGTCCAAACTTTTTTGTATGAATTTCTCTTTCTCTTAAAATAATATGTTCAGAATTCCTTCTGTGTATTTTTTTGGTATTTCATCTCTTTTCTTTCTTGCTGTTTATGCTAAGTAAATGTCCTCAGAACAAACACTAATTTATAGTTGAATTTTTAAACAGTAAAAGTAATGATTTCTAACTTTAAGTATTGTGAGCATGATATAATGCCAAAATCATGTAAACTCTTCTTTCATAATTAAAACCACTTTAAATAAGTTGAATCTAGGGAATTGAAGATTCCCTATGAAGATTCTACATCACTAATTTATATTTAATTACTTATTATTATATTTGGCTCCTTAATTAAAATACGGGAAAGTACAATAGAATTGCATTTGTTATTCTATTATGTAATGGGTTTCTGGTTCTGGATTTGAAATAGAACATTTCTGTTTTTCTTCTTCTTTTTCTTTTTATTTCAGCATATTACAGGGGTACAAATGTTTGTGTTACCTATACTGCCTTTGCCTCATGCAAGTTAGAGCTACAAGCATGTCCATCCCCCAGATGGTGTGCAGCGCAACCATTAGATGTGAATATACCCATTCCCCCCAGCCCCCCTCCCACCTTCCCACACCCGATGAATATTATTACTATATGTGCACATAAGTGTTGATCAATTAATACCAATTTGACGGTGAGTACATGTGGTGCTTGTTTTTCCATTCTGGTGATACTTCACTTAGTAGAATGGGCTCCAACTCTATCTATCCAGGATAATAAAAGAGGTGCTATATCACCATTGTTTTTTTTTTTTTTTTTGACTGAGTAGAACTCCATGGTGTGCATATACCACATTTTATTAATCCACTCATGTATTGATGGGCACTTGGGTTGTTTCTACATCTTTGCAATTGTGAATTGTGCTGCTATAAACATTCGAGTGCAGATTTCTTTTTTATATAATGTATTTTTTTCCTTTGGGTAGATGCCCAGAAATGGGATTGCTGGATGAACTTGTAGTTATACTTGTAGTTCTTTAAGGTATCTTCATATTAATTTCCACAGAGGTTGTACTGGTTTGCAGTCCCACTAGCAGTATATGAATGTTCCCATCTCTCCACATCCACACAAACATTTATTGTTTTGGGACTTTTTGATAAAGGCCATTCTCACTGGAGTTAAGTGATATCTCATTGTGGTTTTGATTTCCATTTCCCTGATGATTAAAGATCTTGAGCATTTTTAAAAATATGTTTGTTGGTCATTAGTTTGTCCTCTTTTGAAAATTTCTGTTCATGTCCTTTGTCCACTTTTTAATGGGGGTTTGATTTTTTTTCTTGTTGATTTTCCTGAGTTCTATATAGAGTCTAGTTATCAGCCCTTTATCAGATGTGTAGCATGCAAATATTTTCTCCCATTCTGTAGGTTGTCTGTTTGCTCTCATGATAGTTTCCTTGGCAGTGCAGAAGCTTTTTAATTTGATCAGGTGCCATTGATTTATTTATTTTTGTTGCTATGATTGCCTTTGGGGTCTTCTTCATAAATTCTTTGCCTAAGCCAATGTCTATAAGACTTTTTCTAACATTTTCTTCTAGAATTTTAATGGTTTCATGCCTTAGTTTTAAGTCTGTTATCCACCATGAGTTGATTTTTGTGAGAGGGGAGAGGTGTGGATCCTGTTTCAGTCTTCTACATGTGGTTATCCAGTTTTCCCAGCACCGTTTATTGAATAAGGATTCTTTTCCCCAGTGAATGTTTTTGTCTGCTTTGACAAAGATCAGATGGCAATATGAGGATGGTTTTGTACCTGGTTTCTCAGTTATGTTCCATGGGTCTATGTCTCTGTGCCAGTCCCATCCTGTTTTGGTTACTATAGCCTTGTAGTATAGCTTTAAGGCTGATAAATTGATGCCTACAAATTTGTTCTTTTTGATTAAGATTGCTTTTGCTATACAGGGTCTTGTCTGGTTCCATACGAAGCATAGAATTATTTTTTCTAGATCTAAAAAAAATGATATTAGTCTCTTAAGAGGGATTGATTTGAATCTATTGATCACTTTGGGTAGTATAGACATTTTAATGTTGATTTGGCCTATCCATGAACACGGTATGGTTTTCCACCTGTTTATGTCCTCTGCTATTTCCTTTCTCAGTGTTTCATAGTTCTCCCTGTAGAGATCTTTAGTCAAATATATTGCTAGGTATTTTATTTTCTTTGTTGCTATTGTGAAGGGTATTGAGTCTTTTTTGATTTGGTTCTCAGTTTGACTGTTGTTGGTGTATAGGAATGCTACTGATTCGTGTACATTGATTTTGTAACCTAAGACTTTGCTGAATTTGTTTATCAAGTCCAGTAGTCATATGGCAGAATCTTTGCTGTTTTCTAGATATAAGATCACATCATCAGCAAAGCACAATAGTTTGACCTCTTCTGCCCCCATTTGAATGCCTTTGATTTCTTTCTCTTGTGGGATTGCCCTGGCTAGGACTTCTAGCATTATGTTGAATAGAAGTGATGATAAAGGGCAACCTTATCTGGTTCCAGATCTAAGCAGGAATGCTTTCAATTTTTCCCCATTCAATATGATGTTGCTGTGGGTTTGTCATATATGGCTTGTATCCATGTTAGGTAGGTCCCCTCTATGCCTATTTTATTAAGCATTTGTATCATAAAAGGGTGTTGAATTTTGTCAAATGCTTTTTCTGCATCTATTGAGAGGATCATATGGTCTTTGTTTTTGTCTCTATTTATGTGGTGAAATACATTTATAGATTTGTGTGTGTTGAACCATCCCTGCATTTCTGGGATGAAGCCCAGTTGGTCACAATGGATTATTTTTTTGATAAGCACCTGAATTCAGTTAGGTAGGATTTTCTTGAGAATTTTTGCATCTATATTTAAGGGATATTGGTCTGTAGTTTTGTTGTTGTTGTTGAGTCCTTTCCAGATTTTGACATCAGGGTGATGTTAGCTTCATAAAACATGCTGGGGAGGATTACTTCTTTTTCAATGTTGTGGAATAATTTCTGCAGGATAGGCTCCTGTTCTTCTTTGTAATCTGGTAAAATTTGGGGGTAAAACCATCTGGCCTGGGACTTTTTTTAGGAAGTTTTTTTTTTATTGCTGTTTCAATTTCTTTATTTTATACTGGTCTGTTCAGTAAGTCTATTTCTTCCTGACTGAGCCTAGGGAAGCAGTGTGTTTCTAAGAATTCATCCATTTCCTACACATTTTCAAGTTTATGTGCATAGAGATTTTTATAGTATTCATAGGTGATATTTTTTATAAAATAGGCCATTTCTAACTAGAAAAAAAAGCTAATGTATTGAGGATTTACAGTGTACCAGATAATATTCTAAAAATGCTATTTCATTTAATTCTCAATAACCATAAGCAATAGCCACTATTAGTAACTTTTTTGTTTTTAGGTAAGGAAATGAGGCACAAATGTGCTAAGTAACTTGATTGAGGTTATAGTTAGAAAGGTAGAGTTAGCATTCAAACTCAGCCTAACTTCTTAATTTTATACTAGGCAGCCTGTTATAATTGCTAATCCTTTTCAGTATATTGGATATGTGAATGACCAAGTTTTTATGCCACTTGCCCATCATTATTTTGTTCATAATTATCTTGAATATTCTCATTCATACTGTTAACTAATTTTACAAGTTCCGTTTATAATGCTCTTGGTATTTTGATTATGCTTACTATGAATTTTTAAATTAATTTGGGAAGAAGTGATAACTTTACAATATTAATACTACCATCCAGGATCATTTTGTATTTATTTAATTTATTTTTATGCCTTGGTCTTAAATAATTTTGTTATGCATTCTTATGACTTTATAGTATGTGTTACTGTTATAAATGGAAATTAAAACTTTTTAAAATTACAGTTTATAACCAGTTATTGCTGGTATATGTGGCTTATTGATATTTACATTTTTATATTGTTTCCAGCCATCTTAACAAATTCTATTATTCTGAAAAGTCAAAAACTCTTCTCCTCTGGAATTTACCTAAAGTTTTCTAATTTTTTGAAACTTCAACTATCATCTCTTCTAGTTTTTGACCCAGAGGGCCAAGATCTTTCTTTCTTACTATTTGTCCTTCATTTTATGATTAGTTTATTCTTCTGTTTTTAAATCATAGCTATCGAGCACTCTTGAAATTATGACAGGATTTACATAATAATTTTTGTCTTATAAGCAGAGAAAAACAGTTAACCAAATATCTTCTTAACCAAATATCTTTCTTTTGAAACTATTCCCATTCAGAATGAAACTATAAAATTGGAAACATCAAATAAGATTTTAAGTAAGAAAACAAAAGTAAGTATTTTGCGGATCTTTGTTTGTCAATAAAAATATTTCCTATAGAGCCTGCTGGCCTTGCGCCATAAGCCAAATAAGAATATATACATCCTTTCTCTAAATGATAACTTTGTATAATGCTAGGAATATCTGGCTATTTGGACATTAGCTTAAAACTGGATAGGTGTAAGCTAATGTATTAGTGAAAAAAAATTAAGCATTCAGTTTTAATGGTTGAATGTGCCATCAGCGCTGACCATTTCTCTAACCCTTCCGCACATTACAATTCCATACAATGGGTTTATTTGGTGACAAAAAAATATAATGAACGGGCTCCCCTAATACCTTTCAAAGTACTCCTTCAAAATACGTGCTAACAATTTCTTGCTTAACAGTTTATAGTTCTGCTTCTATTACGTATGTATAGTTCTTTGTCATATACAGTACGGATTAGTATCTTTGTACTAAATTCTAGAAGTGGCAATCTGTTTGGATTCAATGTTATTGCTGTCATACATGACCAGCATCGTACCATTATCCATGACCAAGTTGTCGTTAATTCTTTGTAGGTTACTGAAAACCATGTGAAGCAGGTCCTGGGGAAGTGTAAGATCAGTGAGGAGGAGCAGAAGTGAGTACTGATGTCGTGATAAAAGAACCAGAGCAACATGATGCTATTCTCAGAACCATTCATTTCAAACTAGACTAGATAGACCTTCGAAGTGTCCACACTCGTGGGCGTTAACTTTATTAAGGTCATTAAATATGAAATGTCCGATTTTGAATCAAAAGTGCAGTTTATTATGTCTCAGACAAGAAGTAATACAAGTACTCAAAGTCTGCGCCCAAACACAGTTTTGTCACCTTAGTGGTAAGTTGTTTATGCCAGCAGCAAAGAAGCCTGGAGATTGAGTGACAGTGAAAGCGCGAAAGGCGTCTTCCACAGCTTGTTGAGAAGTGAATATTTTTTCCTTGCAAGAAGTGGTCCAAAGCCTGGAAGGAAGTGGTAGTCAGTCAGTGCAAGGTCTGGTGAATACAGTGGGTGACACAGAGTTTCTAAGTCCAGCCTCTGTAGTTTCAGCAGCGTTGTTTGGGTGACATGTGGTCGAGCGTTGTCTTGCAAAAGGATTGGCCTGTCCCTGTTGACGAATCTCAGCTGCATGATCACAAATATCCTCATCATTTCCTCCCATTGACTGCAGTAGACATTCCCTGTAATCAACTGACTAGGTTGCATGAAGCTATAGTGGATAATACCAGCACTGGACCACGCAACACACGCCATTAGCTTTTCTTGACGACTGTGTGGTTTTGGACTGGGTTTTGGTCCAGCCACTGTGCCAAATGCTTGCAGGGTCATCTCACAAAGCAATATGGCACAGAAACATTTTGCCTTTATGTCATGACAGCAAAGAAAGGCAAGCTTTGAGATGATTTCTCCTCTGATGCTTGTTTAATTCATGCAGCACCCTTACACGCAGCCTCTTTACTTTGCCGACTTGTTTTCAAATGGCCAATGTCGTTGGAATAGTAATGCCAAACCTTGCACTTTATGCATAGATTGAATTGATTCACTTCCACTGCAGCTTACAGCTCATCATTATCCACCTTGGTCTCAGGTTACCTACGTGGCTCATTTTCAAGATTAAAATCACCACAACGGGGCTTCTCAAAGCATTGATGTACTGTGCATTCATTAGGCACATCCTCCCCAAACGCTTCATTGATATTTCAGGCTGTCTATGCTACATTGGTTACACAACAGAACTCATATTTGAAAATAACACGAATATTTGACTTCTCCACGGTTTCACAAAAATTGCTCTAAAAAAATTTGTGAAAGATAATCACAAGCTAAAAAGTGTGTGTTTGAAAGACTCAAGATGTACCTTCACAATAAAAATAAAAGTAGAAGCGCCAAAGTGAAATATCATTAGATATCAACTGTCAAACTCAGGTTTTAAGTACATTGGGCATTTCATATTTAATAACCTAATACCTGCTGCATCCTGTTCTATGCTTAAGAATTCTCAGCCCAAGGATTAAACCTCAATCTTTACATACTATTTAGTAGTAGAGAAATAAACTCATTAGACAAAACTTTAGAGTCGAGGGTGAATTCTCACGGGCAGAAAGCGGGAGAGTGAAGAGTGCGAATGGCTTTCTTTTCTCTAATTCTATGGCTTTTAGTGATGTTAAATCTTTGAAAAGCCCTACAAGTTTATTATTCTGAATATTTTAGTTTAAATAGTAAGTGGTTGATTTATACCATTTGTTATGTAAGTTTATACTTTGCGAAGTCACTTTTCTTAGAGTCCGTGCGACAGTTCCAATCTCAGGATTTTGTAGTCTTGGGAGCAACAGAAAACCCTGTGATGGTTCAAATATGGAAAGGCTCATTAGGGTCCGCAGCAGGAAGACTTTTAGGGGCAGGTGTCCTGGGCCCAGTGATATCACCAAGGAACCAGGGCTCTGCTGTCCTCCCTCCCTGCTTGCCCTGGAGGGTGGCTCTCCTGTGCGGGCTCTTGGCAGGGCTATCTTCAGGCATGAGGTCTATGGTCCCTGGGGTAAGAAACAGCAAGGTGGAAGCTCTTTAGAGTCAAGGGTGAATTGTCACGGGCAGCAAGGTGGAAGAGCTTCTCCTCAGGAGGCTTTTCGGTTTCATTTAGGAAGGACAGTCCTTTCCAGGTACTCCCCCCTGCATCTCACCAGCCAGCACCGTTAGCAGTAGGGAGGCCAGGAAACAGAACACCCCACTTTCCAGCTTAGGTGGTCCAGAAAGCCATAAAGGAAGGTTATTGCACCAGGTGCTGGCTGAGCACACAGGTGGACCCAGAGTTTGTGGCTCCTTATATCATGTTGTGTGTCCTCAAAGAATAAGGTGAGTTACAGATGCAAAATGGAGAAAGCACCTCCCACAGTCGTGGCCACGAGGATGAAGGAACCTGAAGCTTAAACACTGTTATGTTCACGGTGAATCTGCTTCCACTGCCGCACTGTGCCTGGTCTGGAAATGCTGCAGGGGCAGCGCCCAGATATTTAGAGAATCTTTGTTACATTCAGGGCCAAGACTCTGAAAATATCCTTTAAAACAAGAGTGATGGGTCGGGCGTGGTGGCTCATGCCTGTAATCCTAGCACTCTGGGAGGCCGATGCGGGCAGATCGTTTGAGCTCAGGAGTTTGAGACCAGCCTGAGCAAAAGCAAGACTCCATCTCTACTAAAAAACAAAAATAGAAAGAAATTAGCTGGACAACTAAAAATATATAGAAAAAATTAGCCGGGCATGGTGTCGCATGCCTGTAGTCCCAGCTACTTGGGAGGCTGAGGCAGGAGGATTGCTTGAGCCCAGGAGTTTGAGGCTGCTGTGAGCTAGGCTGACGCCACGGCACTCTAGCCCGGGCAACAGAGTGAGACTCTGTCTCAGAAAAACCAAACAAACAAACAAAAATGAGTGATGGTTGCAAAGTCTCATCTTGTCTGTTTTTAGATGAATGTGTCCTAAAATAGATGCTTATTTTGAAATTTTCTTTGATGCTTAATATATTTCTTCTAATCTATTGTATTCATTTTTATTTATTTTAAGGAACCTTTTAGAATTTATCAAGCAATTTGTAACATTTAACGAAACAGCAAATAACTCTCAAGAGACTGAACAAAGGACCAGAGAAAATTCGCAACTGCCAAGCATCTAGTGCGAATGTTTGCAAAAGTATAAACTGATAAAAGAAAGATTCATCCCTTTTTGTCAGTTTTAATTCCTAATAAAACTACTGTGGTATACGTATCCTATGTAAGATACTGAAATAAATACATGTACATGTATGATTAGTCTTTACTTTTGTATGCATATTTGTAACAATAATTAGTCATTAAAGTATGTTCTGCTTTCTATTAATAACTTCCCACTGGTGAAAATGTGTTGATTACTTGATAACCATAAGTGGTTCAGCACTGTAATAATACAGATCAAATTTGTTTATTCACCAGCATAAGTTTATATATGTATGCATTTAATAAAACCTAGTAGTGCTCTACTTAGTATGCATGAAACTAAATAATCTTTCCCAACGGGAATGATACCATGCTCTGCAGAGGTTGCAATGCCAGCGTGGTGCTCTGCACTGTGCCTGTCCTAGCTGACTGTGATCCTCACGGCAACTGTTCCACTTGGGATTTCTTTTTTTAAATGCACACATATAGAAATAACATTCATTGGAAATCAAGCAGGAAGGAGTGGGGAGGAGGGGATGGGTAAACTCACACCTAACGGGTACAATGCACGCTGCCTGGGGGATGGGCACACTTGAAACTTTGACTCAAATGCAACAAAAGCAATTTATGTAACCAAAAAGTTTGCACCCCTCTAATATTCTGAAATAAAATGAAAACAAATAAAATTTAAAGACATATAATTATGCACATAATATATTAATAATTGTATGGTATTAGTAATCAATAATATTGAATTTATTGGCATTGAAAACACTGCAATTATTAGCCTAGTCAACAATAAAATTATCAATAATATAAAAAGCACCTATTTTGCCTATAATCTACTCTAGCATCTAGAATAAATGCAAGTTTGATTCCTTCGAACAACTGTGTCCAGGGGTATTTTGAAGATCCAAAGTAAGTGATGAGTATGGATGAGAGAGATTCAATTTTGATTTGGAATAATAGAGTTTGAGGTGGGAGAGACAGAAGGAGGGAGAGAGGGAAGAGTTTTCTTTCTGTGGATCCGGAGGTCTTTGTCAGAGAGGGTGTGTTCATCGCAGTTCTCTGTAAGATCCATCAGCTCTTCCTGGGGCATGACTCACCTGTTTTTAGAAATCACATGGTGGCCGCTACTTTAAATTTTCACCATGTGTAGACATCAGCTGGGTGTTAGGGGTGTTTACTGAGTCCTCTATGTTCCAGGGGCTTTCTGGTGCTGATTTAAGTCCACCAGAATCCCAGCAAGTAGACATTTTCCATTATCCAGGGGAGAGAGCCCAAATGGGAACGGTGAATTGATTTGCTAAAACTACTTTGTAAATGACAGAGCTGGGACCTGAACCCAGGCCGGGCTGACTTAGACTCGTGTCACCAAATCATGCTGTGTCCTTTACGTTCATGAGCAAGAGAGATCCAGGAAAATGCATCCGTGCATTGCCAAACAGTGACGTGGAGACCACCAGAACTAAAATCAAACAAACCAGGCTGAGTTTATTTGCTCGTCCAGCAAGGGAGAGCCATTCACTCGAGAGGTTCAGGGCGTCTCTGGTGTGAAAGCGAAGAGCTGGACATGGAGGTAGAAGGTCTGTTTTGTTTATTTCTTTATTCCATGTCAAGAGGGCTTTGGGCGTGGTGTTCTGAATGGATCTGTGGTGGGGGTGAGGAGGCTGGAAACTCCTTTGTTTGGATTTGCCATCTTTCTGGCCAATGTCACAAAAGCACTGTTTTCAAAGAGATATCAGGTGGGTCACAATAAAGCTCTGTCGCGATCTTAGTTTTACAGCGGGCGCTTTGATGTGTGCATCCTTGAGACTGTTAATTTTGTCCTCTAAAAGCAGGTAAGCAATCCCACCCGCCATTCATTCTTTTATTCAAGCAACATTCTCTAAATCAACATATAAGTATACTGCAGACGGCTTGCCAGTTGGGAGCACAGAAATTAGTAAGACGTGGTCCCTGTCCTCGGGGAGTGTAGGGTTTGTTGTGCAGCCCCGTGAGAAGACACACAAGAAGTCTGCTAGAACCGAGTGCCTGCAGGGATGGGGTAGGCAAACCCGCACCCTCACCTGCAGCAGGTTTAAGTTGACGAGAACCTTCTGGAGTGACTTGGCAGCAGCTCGTGTGGCTTTGCTGAGTGTTTGCCCCCGGGATACCCCAGCCCTCCTTGCGTTTCAGCAGGACCACTCGGCTTGTTTGGGCCAACGTGAGATGGCTGTGATGACACACGACAGGAAACAGGTGAGCTCTGAAAGACCGGCTTATTTGCAAGAGGAATTAAAAGGGAATGAAGAGAGATCTGGATCTCTCCGTGTGGGGAGAACTGACTACTCTGAGTCCACAAGTTTAAAGGATGAGATCTTTAAATGTCTGTAATCTTCTGAAATATCAGGTGTGGCCTTTCCACCCAAGCCCTATAGCTTCAGGGAAGGTGTCTTTGAATTGGGAGGGAGAGAGAGGGCGGGGGGAAGGAGGGAGAGAAGAAAAAGGTCTGAGCTTCTCTAAGGAAACTGGGGACTGGCGGAACTGACCGGAAGCGAATATACTGGAAGTCTCCCGGTTGTTTGAGGGAGTTTTCCTGCCGGGGCAACCAGGACCTTCAGGTCAGAAAGCTGGTGACTGCCCCAAACCTAAGAGCATCCTTCTCCCCTGGCGTTCCACGAGCAGGAGCAGGAGGGAAGCTGAGAACACTGGGTGTCCCCCAGGGAGGCACCGTCCCCAAAGCCCACTTTGGGTGTGTCGGGGGGGGGGGCCTACCAGGGACAAGTGTCTCAGTGTCACATATCCATTTTAGGACCATCCAGCAAGTTTCACAGCCCTGAAAATCCTCTGTGCTCTGCCTGGTCACCCCTTTTCCCCCCTGCTCCTGCTCAGCCAACAATCTTTTCACGGTCTTCATTGTGTGGCCTTTTCCAGAATGCCATAGAATCGGAATCCTACAGTACACGACCTTTTCAGATTTGCTGTTTTCACTTAATAATATGCGCTTAAGTTTCCTCCTTGTCTTTTCGAGGCTTGACAGCTCATTTCTTTTTACTGCTGAGTAATACTCCACCGTCTGAAGGGGCCACGGTTCGTCCGCTCAGCCCGAGAAGCGGGGCACCTTGGTGCTTCCAGGCTTTGGGAATTAGGAGAAAGCTGCTGTGAACCGGCGTGCAGCTGGGCGTGTGGACCTAAGATTCCAACTCCTTTGGGTAAATACGGGGGAATGCAATTGCCGGGTCATGTGATAAGAGTGTGTGTCGTGTTGCAGGAAAGCGCCAAGCTGTCTTCCAAAGTGGCTGCGCCGTCCTGCGTCCCACCAGCCACGCGTGAGGGTCCCGGCTGCCCGCGCCCTCTCCGGCACTGGGGTCAGCTTTCGGGATTTGGGCCCGAGTTCCGCTAGGTCTGCGCCGGCCATTCGCTGCTGCCCGAGTGAGCAGTCCCACGGACACGCGGCGCTGGGCGACCTTCCGTGTGCTTGACCCGGCCGTGTGTCTTCCTCGGTGAGGCGTCTGCTCAGATATTTTGCTCATTTTTAAAGGGTCTTTCGTTTTCTTATTGTGGACGTGTGAGTTCTTCATATATTTTGGATAACGGTCCTTTATCAGATACTTTCTTTTGCTAATGTTTTTCTCTCAGTCTGTGGCTTACTCCCTCATTTTCTCGATAGTAATGCACTTTTAACATAAAGTTAAACCATCTTGAAAATCTTTGAAAATGGATTAAGCAGCTAATACAATTTTCCCCTGCTGTTACACTGCTCCGGTTTGGAAATAAGAAAGTTGAGCTTTTCTGGGTGGAGAAAAACCTTCAGAATGCATATATATTATTTTTGAAAGTATGTGTTTTAATATTATAAAAGACATACTAGCTTCTCTTAGAAATGTTGGTAAATACTCAACAATGTTAAAAAAGTAAAAAAAAGTCTCATGATTCTGTATACCCAGAAATATAAATATACCCAGAATTTCAATATTTATATTTCAGCATCTTTCAATATTTATATTTCAGCATATTTGCTTATTCCTGATAGTCTTTATCCCCCCTAGTTTTTAACACATTGTTTTACAAAAGTAAAATGTCTGGCCTTAAATTATTGTTTAATATTTTCCCATTTCACCTTTTTTCAATAATAAATGTTCACCACTTCTTTCATAAGAATGAAACTATAACTATTCATAGCACTACATATGTATGTATTATACACATGCATATATGTATTATATATTATGTATGTGTACACATGTATTATATATGTACATGTATAATCCATACATTATGTATGTGTGCATATGTATTACAGAAAAATGTGTTTGATCAGACGACAAGACTTCAAGCTTCCCTTCCAATTCTGTACATCTGTGGATTCTAAATCAAAGTCCTAATTTTACAGATTAAGAACAGAAAAGCAATTAGATTAAAGGATTTGTCCAAGATTCCACAGCTAGTCAAGGGGATAATTAGAAATAAGACTTAGATTGTCTAATACTTCAGACCATTCCTCTAGCGTGTTTTCAGTCTCAAATAAGGGGAAGCAGTATGTAGCATTTCCCCAAAAGAGCTCACCTTCTTTTGGACTATGCAGTGGACTTGTGCAGATAGAGACGTGGTGAAGCCCCGAACTGGTGCCCTAGGGCCCTCTCCTGCCACCGTTGTGGGAAACAGAATAAGAACAGAAGAAATAAGAGTTGAAGGAGTTCAGGAAATGTTCAAGGAAAAAGCATTAATAGCAGAATATAAGTATATGAGCACCAAAATATTTTTAGTTGACGTTTAAAATTGCATGAAATCTGAAAAGACTTCTGTGCATTTATAGTTTTGCCACAAAGGATAATTTCCCACTAAGTCAAATATACCCAATTTCTATGTATTTCTTTCAAAGAATTTTGAATAACATATATAAATATTAATATATCCCCATTTGTGGTAATAAAAAAACGCATTTGGCTAATATCAGAATGAGTGAAAAAAACATAACTTTAACCAAACATTATTGTCTTTCCTTGTGACATATTTTTATAAACTTAATTTGTACTTGCAGTTAGTGAAAAATAAGTTAAACCTATTTCAAGTGTGAATATATCTTTGGAATCCTGAGAAAAAGACTGTCTTAACTTGGACTTGGCCCCGTAGTCTAA